TACAGAGGAGACAGAGGGATAATAGCAGAAAGGCAGAAATAAGATGACAATCACTGATGTCTGGATAGGAAAAGTTAAATGACTGGTCTAACTGATATTTATGGACAGTGATAAGGTCCCAAGCTGTAAAATGAATTTACTTACAAGATTTTTTCTTGACCGAGCGATTTTAACCCAACAGATTTTTAGAATGTTTTGTTTCATGTGAGGAAGGACTGTCCCCATGGTTTGGTTTTCTTCAGCTAGTTAAAATGCGGCTAAATGTGGACTAAGTTAGACCCTTGGAGGTTAATTTTCTGCCAGCTTAGAGTGTTGAGCTAGATCTCCAGTGGGTTGGCCAAGAGCTGATATGTCACGAAAGGAAGCAGAAGGAGTCAGTGGGGTGAGGGCAGGTAGGGTAGGATGTCCCTGTCAAGGACAGCTAACTCTTGGAGTTTCCTTCTGGTGTTGGGCACCATTCAAGCGGTTTGTGTGGGATTGGAAGTACTGGGAGAGAGAAAGACTGCAAGCAACCATCCCCGTTTCAGCCCCAGAATACCCAGAGCACTAACAGGGTGCGTGGGACACATGCGCAAACCTGCTTAACGCCAGGCATGGGCTTGAAGCCACATCCCAGCTGTGCTCTCACCATCTGTCTAGTTTCCTGGATGAACCTCTCCCTATTTCACTCTACTTACATCTTAAATAAATCAAAAGATGGATGAGAGATTTGCACTTCAATCCCTATTGTGCGATATCACCATCTCTGATAAGTATTTAATTTAATATGCAGTGAGACAACTCTAGGAAGAAAATGGAGAAACAATCCCAAAGGAATAAAAAAGCAAAACCCAATGGCTTGGCTGATCAAAGAGGAGTGTGACAAAATATAAAGCTGATGATTTCATTTGTGCACTAATAGGTTTTGGTGAAGCAGGGGGCAACTTCTGGGGGGTCTCTGGGGAGAGACATGAGAGCTCAGCAGTGACATTTGTGCACAGGGGATTCTGCACACACCTCCTGGCAAAAGCTGGTAAATGGAGGCCACAAGGAGGTCATCAACCTCATAATTGTGGACACAGCACTTAGGGACATGGCTTAGTTTTGGACTTGATAGTGTTAGGTTGGTGGTTGGACTTGATGATCTTAAGAGTCTTCTCCAATCTAAACGATTCTATCTCCCTACAAGTGGACTTTTGAAGGTGTGAACATCAGTTATAACTTGTTACCAGTAGAAAAGAGTAATGGAAAGAGAAACCTGTTTCTTGTCAAGCTTTAACTAAAAGCTGGAAAAACAAACTGATAACTCCAGTTCTGTGAGACATACTGATGCACGTCAGTATTTGTGACTGAGTTGCTACCTAGTCTTACGAACGAGCCATTGCCATTAGCTGCTGACCAAGCAAGTGGAAAGCAGTAGGAAAATTATCCATGACTTTTTTCTTCAGTCAGCAGAGCAGTATGGAAGTGCATAAGCAGAAATTCACCATCATGTGCACTGTGGGCCATGCCACCCCACAGTTTCACTTTCCCAAATTCCCTAAGCAGCATCCTGGAGATGCTGTCCCTGGGGCAGATGCTGGGCTGGTGGGGACTCACACGGTTCTGGGAGAAGCTGTGGCTCCTGGTGAGCATTAAGCACAAATCTAGGATCTCTTCTCAGTGTGATAGCCCTTCTCTGTGCTGTTGACAACCTGTGAACACATGGCTTTCCAGGTGCTTGCAGGGTTGCACCACAACAGCACAGCTACTGCAGGTTGCCTTTGACACCTGCAGTAGCCTGGACAGGGGAGCAGCACTAGACCAATGCTTTCAAAAGTTATTTCTGCAACCCTTCACTGACATCTTCAATAACATCTTTCTGGTGCTGTACTCATCTCTTCCCAAATAAGTCTTCGCTGATGGTTAACGAGCAAGTAGCAAAAAGCAAATATTAGAGTGTATGCACAGAAAGAGAATGTTAAATTGAGCATCCCAAATTGTATTTTATGCATTGCAATAGCCAGTAATGAAAAAAATCTGTACTGCATACTGAACTAAAACTTGGATTACATGCCCAGAGTGAGATAATAGAAATCACCTCTTGTGTCTGCTGAGGAGCAAATACTTGTTCGTGCCTTTTCACTCAAACTACATTACCAGCCAAGAGGGGAATGGCTGGAACAGGTGCCTTTAACCAGAAGAAATTCGCTGATGTGAACAGAGTCATCCTTTTGGCTGGGCCAAGAGCACATTGCACTGCTGTCCTCTGAATAAGACAATCATGTAATCATTTAGTTAGAAAAGATAAGAGAGAAGGGAGGTAACTGGGCATTACCCGTATCCGTGTCTGAGACTCAGTGTGCTGGAAGCTGATTTAGCAAATCTTGTTCAAGGCTGAATCTGTTTTTTGAGGCAATCATTCAGAAAATTAGAATACTCCCAAGAGATGCCTTCATGGAGGAGATGGAGTCAAAGATTTGAAGGCAGAAGTTACTCCATTAATCATTTTGAGTTTGAGTGGGCTGCAGTATGTTACAAACAGCCTCTAAAAACAATAGCCTCCAACAAAAACTGAAGGGGTGAGGTTTGCTTTCCTTGCTTATTCCCTATAATTATTCACCCACTGCAACCTGAGATTTTTCAGACCTCACTTGGTCTGCAGGAAGATTCCTCAGCAAGATCCTCTGAGCAGCCAACTGCAAAAAACACTGAAATATGATAAGCATATAAGAGCATTAAATGGTAGCATTCTCCATCACCCACAGCCTCTGTTAGTTGTGCTTCCAGGCCAGATGAAGCTTGAATGTACGTACAGCTGTTATGAGTTGTAAAATACATTTTGAAATGGGATTGATTCATCTGTGTTTCATGAGATTGAATTAAGCAAAAGAAAGAGTATAAAGGCTTGTCTTTTTTCCAAGCATTTAATAAAAATATTCAGCCTCACTGGAACATAATAGAGATGTACTTTAGGCACACAGATGTGCAGTAGTGAGAGCCACGTTTTATGTAAGCTGCTCATTCTTTTGTGCGGTGTTAAGAACTGAATGTACTTTCATACTCCATTTTTTGGCCTTAACATGAGCTAATGTCAAAGCAAATGAAGACCTGGTGGTAAATCCTTTTCAGCACTGCTAATGATTGCTGCCATTGCAGAGCTGTTCCTGGCTGTCTCATCATCTTTGGGAAATTGGGCTTTTGATAAGTAGGCCTTACACTCTGAATTTTTATTTCTGCAACAAAATTTGCTGGTGTGGTTCAGTGTTTAGTGGATCAGAAAAAGGTGTGTGGGTCACATACTGGAGAGTGTATTCAAAGCAGGTTTTATGGTGAGCTGCAGTGGGTAAAGTCATTAGGGATATAAGGAGTGGTTTGAATGGGGTTGGACAGGGAAAAATTCATGCCAGCATTCCCTATCTATAAAAATGCATTTTAGTACAAAGCAGATTTACAACTGGCATTATTTTTGCATGCAAAGCAAAACATGCAGAAGAGCAACTAAGCCTGATTTTATTCTTTCAGTTCCGTTGCTTGTTTTATATTTAGGTTTTCATATTATGGCTGCCTAGATTTTATAACTGCAAGTGTGCCCAAACCCTTGATTGATTCATTCAGCTCGAATAATAAGCAACATAAATGTCTCCTTTCTTCAACACCTGCACACTCCATTCCTTAGCCGACACACATCTAAATTTTGCAAGTATAAGAGATGCAGGCACGTGTTTTGACTTTGATTTTGTAAACCACAACCAGCCAGGTGGTAGATCCTGGTCTAGATCTGAGCAGGAAGGAAATGTTGCCCAGGTTTTGCTGTCAATCCACATGTATCTGGCTGTTTCTATATTTTCTGCTGTTCTTCCCGTGGCTGTGGGAGCAGCCGCACATGCAGGCAGCGTGGGTGCCCACGTGGCAGGGCAGAGGTGGACCTGGTGCAGTGCTCTCAGGTCTCAGTAAAATGATCTCGTGGAGCTTGGCAAAAATCAAGTGACCCTAATATCAACATCTCATCCTCCCCTATCCCTGCTGTCACCCCCAGCTAAGGAGATGCTGTTCTCTGGTCATCCCAGCACCTCCTCCAAGTGGGCAGGATACATCATACCCAGTGAGTGCTGCTTGAAAGTCAAGCCTAGTCCAGCACAAGCTATGTCTATGCTTCTAAATAGTGGAGAACCGGGGAGAAGATGAGACAAATTGATTCATCTTCACACTGGCCTTCTCAATAAAAGATTTGTCTTGAAGAAAGATAACTGAAACAGTCCCAAACAGGCTCAAAAGTGGATTAAAATGAAAGAAGAGCGAGTGGTCTGGGATGCAGTGCTGCCAGTCACTGTCCCTGTTTCCATCTAGATACATAGACATACCTGCAGTGGTTTATCCCTCCTCTATTAGCAGCCACAAGAGAAAGGCCTTGTCAGTAAGTGATTTATCCCATCTATTTTAGACACTACTTTAAGGTGAAATGAAGCACCCTTTGCAAGTAACTGTCTCTCTGTTGACTGTGGAGGGACTCTACATAATTGAGTTCAGATGGCTAGAGGTAGGAAGGTGCATCCTACCTGGGCAATTTCCCTTCAGTAACACTAGCCCTGTCCAAACCATTCAGTGTCTTTCAAGTGTGATTTTTCTCTGCAAGAAGTGTCGGAACAAGAGAAAACCCACTGCATGTTCTCTGTCATTCCATTTCCACCCTGCTTCATCTTCCCTTCTCTCCAACATCTTGCCTTTGGGGAAGGATAGGACACAGGAAGACAAACCTGACTGAGCAGCCCTCCGTCCTCGTGGAGGTGATTAAAACTTTGGTGTCTTCATCTCAGGCACCAAACAGCTGTGTAAACCCCAGAGCCCTATGGAGTCAGGTGGATTTCTTTGATGGGCTCTATTTTATTTTCTGATGCCGTGAAAAAATAATTCAGAGCAATGACAATGCTCTTAAGCAGGGAGCAGCTATTACCAAGTCTCCTTGCCATTTTCTTGTAATCAAAATGCTTCTAATGCAAAATAACAACGTGTGAATTATTCTCTTTTCTCTTTCTCCTCAGAAATCGAAGCAAAGGAAGCGTGTGACTGGTTACGTGCAGCTGGATTTCCCCAGTATGCTCAGTTCTACGAGGGTAAGTGGGTTTTTCTGCTCTTTGTGCAGTACTGAAAGTGCACTGGGCCCTTGCCAGGAGAGCTTGCAGTCGGCCAGCTCTGCATTTGAGTGAGTTATCGCCGTGTCTGGCTGCTTCACAAAGCCTCAGCTGCTGGAGTCGTATGAATGCCTAAAGAAAAGTGAGATTCTTGCCTTCATGGCTATGGAAGAAAAGAGGGGGACACAATTTTTGTAAACCTCAAAGATTAACAAAAAGAAGTAAAAAAAAATAAATGCATAGGTCTTTAAAAAAATGAATAAAAAAGCTTCCTGAGCTGTCAAAAACAATACTGAAGATATCAAAAGCTACTGAAAATTTCAATCTTACTGAAAATGAAATTGAAAACTCTGCAAAATTACCAAAAGTGAATCACTTGAGCTGTGTTTTACATTTGTCCTCCTCTCCCTGCAAAGCAAGAAAAGCAAATATTGCAGTGCTAGCTCAAAGCGAATGGTCATGTCCCCATCCTAGCTGTTTATGGAGTGGGTGGGTGATGGACAGTCATCCTCAGGGAAGTGGTGTCCTGGAGGACAGGGCGAGCATGTACACTGCTGGTGCCTTCAGGAGCAATTTGGGAACTGGGAGTCATTTTTTTCCTGCTCTCTGTAGCTCAGTGCTGAGAGGGAAACTGCAGCTGATCCTCATTTTTTCCAAACTGCCTATTCCCCCTGCCAGAGACACAGAGCCAGCTTAGGACCGCTCGGGCTTATTAGCCAACACACAGCTCTGCCAAGCCCCACTGGACATCGGCCAGGGTCAGCTTGGGTCTGGAGGCAGCACAGCTCCACGCATGGAGCCAAGAAACCTCGCGGGTCAGAGCCAGCTCCACAGAGCTGGAAGCAGTGGGAAGCATGGTGCCGAGGACACCTCCTGAGGGCCAGCTGAGGTCCTGCAAGGCTCCAGGGCTGGGTCCCATTGGGGCAGGGTGCCCAAGGACTGGGAGCACTGGGGAGAGCCGTGCACAGATGCTCAGGTGGCTCCACAGGAACCTGGCAGGCTCTGCTAAAGCAGCAAGGAACTAAGCTTAATAAACCTGACCAAAGCTGACATAGACGTCCCTATCACAGTCCCTGGGTACCCAGCAGTACCTTTAGTGTCTGCATTATAGTCAGGGTATCTCACATAAAGAAAGGAGAGTTCACTGCCTGCCGATCTCAAAGGGATGTTCCTTCCAAAATGCAGCCCATGCTGGGCTCCCACAGTTCCCATACAGCCAACGCGCGCTCTAGACAGCCAGCGTCTCTGAAAACAAGGTCATTTTTACAGGCATCTATTATGTAAATGTTAAGCACTAGTGTCTGAAAATGCTGGCTGCAGTTCCCCTATCCCAGCTTCCCACTGCGGTACCTAAACATGGCAGAGCAGCCTGGAGCGCAGCCACCGCGCTGGAGCCCGTCCCGCTGCTACGGAGCCCACTAATGTGTTGCAGCCATGTCACTTTTCATTACAAGTGTCAGCTTCCAGCACACCAGTTTGGCTTTTTAGCAAGTTTTGGGGGTTATAATTCAGTTCGGTTTTTTTGCTTGTTACTTGAGTAACCCTTTGTCTGAAAACATCGTTGTTGGGAGTTGTATTAAAAGCAAAGAAAAGCTCAAAATGTTTCTAGAGTCTGTCTAGCAATTCATTAAAGTCACTCTGATGGGAATGGGAACCTTATTGCTTATGTGGATAATGTGTGTGTTGGTAATTCTCTGATCTCATTCATTTGTGTTAGGCACTAGAAAGAGCAGCGAACAATTGAACATCTTATTAAAGCCAAAGTGAAATAATGTCGCTGTCTCTTTGGTGCACAGGATGCTCAACTAGACATTTAAGAGAAAAGAAATAATAAGGTGACTGAAAGGGTCACCAATACAGCTGGAAGAGAACCAGACCTGAGTGAAATCAGTAATGCTAGATTTAAGTAAGCAAGTACATGCAAAACATTTTTGATGTAGACGATGTATTTTCATTTGAAGAGCAAGCAGTCATCTTAATATTGTGTCTCCTTTTATAGACTCCCAATTCCCCATTGACATTGCTGCAGTAAAGAGAGATCATGATTTTCTTGACAAGGACCTTGTAGAACCTCTTTGCAGGTAAATGACACCTCAAGTTTCTTTCCTGATAATGTGAAAACGTGAGCTGGTTTGTTATTGCTAGCACAGTGGCCCAGCAGAAAAGATGTTTGCTTATCTGTGTGAATTAAGCAATGATATCTAAAATGATACCATTCTGAATTCATTTCTCTTACTGAAAAAAAAGGAGTTTTTCCACTACACTCACAGAAAACATTGCAAGATTAAGGGTCCAAAACCAGTGGATTTGAAACACCTTCATTTTAACAAAAAACAGCATCAATACAAGGAAATCCTGAATAAATGAAGGAGTCGTATTTGAGTTGCACGTGAACAGCTCTATGTCCAAGCACGGCAAAAAAGATAAAACTTCACTGGAGGCAATTCAGCAAGTACTTTCTCTGGCAGCAAGCATGGCTTTCAGTCTGCTGTAATTCCCTTGGTACTCTCCTTTTGGCTTCGCCAACAGCACTGGGACCAGAACCCCACAGTGCTACAGCTACTACAACGAGTCATTGGTCTACCCCTCCCTGAAGGCTTGTGTTTGCTGTTTATCTAGCTTTTTATACTCTGTCTGTGATGAATGTATTGCATTGCGTTGCTCCAGTACTGTCCCCCAGGACTTAGGAAGCTACAATTCTGCGGTAATTCTGCAAAACCACATTGCAGAGGCATTGTTCCCCTTATTTCTCCTGCGCTCAGCTCAAGCTGGGTTCTGCTCCACACCACTTCAGTAAGGACAAAGGAGCATCTAGCCCCTAACCAAACATGCCTTATTACATGTTATGGAAACTTTCACAACACCAGCATCAAAATAATTGGACAAAACTCTATTTCCCCTTCTGCAACAGATAGTATGTGCTGTTCCATTGCACATCACACTGTATGCAGGGATAATGAGCCTGTGATGGAGGACTGCAGAGAGGCTTTCCTAGAGTGACAGAAAGTAGGGCTGGAAAACAGTTTATCTAGTCCCTCTTTCCAGGCCAGGAGCGGCCTTCCTTCCTGGAGGATCCAGAAAATTTCTGGGCATAGCTGTCAGAATGCTTTCCCAAAACTTCCTTGCTGCAGGTTGCTTCTTGATTTGTTTACTACAGACATGAGGAAAAGAATATTATCTTTCTCCATGTAGTAGCCTTTGTGTTTGAGAAGAAATCTATAATAAAAACAGTGACTGTTTTCAAAGATGCCAGGGAGTGGAATAACTACAAGCTTGACCTACTGACCTGGTGGGAGGGATTTCCCATACCTAAGAAACCTTCTTCCCACACATACATACATACCACTGATTTAGTCTGGCACTACCTTGCTGTAGTCTAGGAAATTGGAAGTGGTAGAAGGTTGAGATCTCTTCCACCCACCCTTTTCCATAAAATTGAAGCACTATACAAAAATGCATTTATTCCTGTCCTTCTCCCATTCTTATGAGAGCAAACAGTGAGTGGCAGTCATTGCATAGCACTGGGACTTTCCCCAGCCTTTATTCTCTGAAATAATTAGCAATAGTAGTCCTGCAATTACAGTCAGAAGCATCCAACATCTACTCAGCTAAGTGACAGCACCTCGTGCTCTTCCAGACTTCCTGTAGACTCACAGATACACCTGCAATGGTTACACCGGGTCTGCATTAATGAGGATTTCTTTGTGAGCTGAACAGCTAGAGATTCTTCGGTGTTTGTTTTTTTTTTTTCTCTTTTATTGAAATGTGAGGTTTTGGAAAAATAAACTAGCAGCTGGAGAGATGTACTGATATGACAATGCTTTATATTAGCCTAAATCAAATGATACTGCTGAGACCTACAGTACACAAGCCTAGAGACAGACCTTGCCAATTTATTTTATTTAAGGGTAAAGGTTTTCATGACTGTCCAGTAACTTCTTCTGGAATTATTTTATTCTGAAGACAACATCCATTTGCTTTAATTTTTGTTGGGTGCTTTTAAACAGCTTAGATCTAAGAAAGAATGACACCTGTTATATGAGTCAGGTAGAAAGAGAAGCATTATATACAGATTATAGAGATGGAAGGCTCATGTTTTCAGTTTGCAGACTTTTAATTTGCTGTAATTCAGGAGTTCCAAACTTTTAACTGAGAGTGACCCGTAAAAAGCAGTTGTGCCAAATGTCAAGTTTTGGGTTCATCAGAAACAGTAAACAGAGTCAGTCACTCCCCCCAGTACAAACTGTGTTACTGTAACTACAAAACGAACTTTTTCCAAGTTTTGCAGTATACTGTAAATCCTCACAGCTCGGCCAACCATGGTGGCCACTCTTCTACCCTTGCTTTGTTCTGTGTTGGCGTTACTGTAAGGTGCATGCCAGTGTGGCATAAAAGAGCTGCGGGCTGTGACATGCTTTTCTGAAACAGAAAGCTAAGAAAAGGTTGGTTATTATTTCTGCAAGTACAGATTGCCAGGTTGGGTGCCAACATCCATTCTTCATACATCCAAAATTCCCACTGCACTCAAAACAATGCATGACCAAGCCTTCACATTGACTAACAGTGCATTGAGGCCATGGGAGTGAACAAAGTGGGGTTCTCCATTTTATTGGGAGGATAATTTTATAGTTCAGAGCTGGAGTGCTCTGAACTATAATAGTTCTAGCATAAACACTGAATTTCTCTGCTCTTGTGGATTGAAATCAGACTCTTAAACCCATTTTATAATCAGTTTTCTGTGACATTGCAGTATAGAAGAAAATATGAGCCACAAATGCAGAGGAACCTTTTCTTTTTTTAAGGCAGCTGGTAGTACTTTAGTCAGAAAGCCTAAGACTCCCAGTTGTAAAAGATTTCTGTGACCTTTTTGAGATATTCTACCACTCCTGCTGTTGACAGTATCATTTGAAAATTTGGCAGAGTAAAGACCAAATTGGAGGCCTTTGGGTTAGAGGCGTATCTTTTTTCCTATCAAGAGATTCCATTCAGATTTTATTGAGTAACGAACAATAGAAAATTGCCATGCAATCTGCAGGCAAGCGTTGTCAGCCTGCCAAAATAATAATTGGGCATGAAAATTTTATAGCTGGATCTCTGTGTCATTTCCAAAATAGCAGCAACAGACTCTGCTCTGGGAACTTTTGTGGCCGCTGTGATAAGAGGGTGAGGAGGAAAAGCCAAGCCATGTTGTACTTTTTGTACTGATGTAAATACACTGACAATATATAAGAATAAGTATGTAATACTACTATGATAATAGGGCCTTACACCAGGCTCTTAAAATCTGAACTGTGCCAAACAGCCAGCAGCCTCTTTTTCTATAGTCCATATCTATTAGATAGTTTGTTAGTAATTCAAAAGACACCGTATATGAGATACTGTACTATTAGAGTTTGAAATGGTGATTGTGTAGTCAACACAATCTGCTGAGCTATATTGCTGTGGATGCTGTTAGGAAACAAGCCCAGCTCTCCACGTGCAGCATGAAAAGCCCTGCTTTGACGCCAGTGGAATGGCTCCCATTGATCTCAAGGCAAGTTGGTTAGTTGGTTCACCTTGTGTGAGTGTGTAGCTTCACTCAGTTGCAGCAATGATAAAAAATGATAGGGGTGGAAAACAGCATATTTTCTTCATGTACAAAATGGGCAGAGCTGGGATCTGCCAGTACGAGCTTCCACCAGTCCTGCCAGTGTGGATAAGACCGTTATTCAGCGTTCAGTCTTCAGCACAGCCCCGCATGAGGAGTTGGATGGCCTCTTCCCAAATCTCATCACACCACAAGAAGCCAGTGTATGCAGCACCTAAACTTGGCTAAGGATAATGATAAAACAAAGAAATAAAGTAGGATTTCCCTCAGGGAGGAGTTTACAGAACCATAAAATCTGTTTGCTTGGTCCATGCCAGTCCATGACAGCCCTCCCCCCTGGACGTCACGGGGAATTCATGGAGCTCCATGTTGCCTTAAAGTTGTCTTCCTGTTATGTGGATGGCTTTTCAGGCAGGACAACAGGTCACCCTTGAGGTTTTCCAGATAATCATATTGTTCTTGGCTGCAAGATTGTATTTATTTGTATGTGCTGTGTGCTGCTGTACAGGATGCAAAACTCAGAGATTTCCTCCTTCTGATGAACTTCCACTAGAAGGGTAAATAAGCACAGCACTGGGGATGGGATTCAGAGCCCTAAATACCTGTATCTAATGCCACTTCAGATCTCCTCAGATAGCTCAGACTTCTCTATGGGCTGGCTGGACCAAGATGACCTGCAGCAGCTGAAGGCCAGGCTTGATACTCTTGGGAATCTAAAATAGCACCAAACTCCTGTGTTTAGGCACCTAAATTACTCCTTTTATGTTTAAGTATTGTCTCAAGGGACGCTTTTCAACATAGAGGTGGTGTTTCACCATAGAGGTAGTGTTTACCTGTGATGACCTGGAGAAAAAATACAATTAACAGGGAAGTTCTTCATATAGTGAACATTTTCCAGGCTTCTCCTGAACACTGCAGAACTCTCTAGACAAGCATTCAAATGCATCCTAGATGATTTGTTTTCTATGTAGCCACTTCTTTTGTGTTAATCTAATGTGTTTTTTTTCTGCCTTTTCTCAAGTCCAGATTCTGTGTTTTGTTAACATTAGAAACAATCAGCCTTTTCCCATATGTAGTGCTACTCTCACTTTGACTGGGACATTAGTAACAGCCTTTTGTAGCCAGAGACTTTTGTTTTTTTTATATATATTTTTTTAAGATTTGTTGAGGAGTTGGCTGTCAGTCATCTAATGACTTCAAGCAGATGAGAAAAGCTTTCTGCCATCGCTGGCACATCAACAGGGCGTAAGAAGTCGAAACAGACTGGCTTTGATTGGAGTTGTTAGTACCAGGCAAGCTAACAAATCTGATCATTAGGCCTCTAATTTCGCTGGCAAATCTTTCCACAGCATTGGAAGAGCCCCAAACAGCATGCCGTTGTTTTGTAGATGGGTAAATTTAAAACCTGAGGTTGAGCCCCTGGCTCCCATTAAGAAGTAGTTTTGTTTCTGATGGAGTGAGCTCCTCACAGAAAAGCCAGATTAGAAAGCAGCCGGCACAATGGCGAGGCTTTCTAAGCCTCCAGTTTAAGCAACGACATTCGCTCGGGTAGAGCTGACCTGTCAGTTCTCCGCTGAGACTAATGCAGTTAGCAGGAAAGCAATTGCTTTGGATGGTTTTGTTTGTTCGACCGTGAGCTTTCTGCACCTTTCCGTGCTGTAGAAGAAGCTTTCTTTTATAGAAGTACCATGACACTTTCTTCAAAGTGTTAAGTCACTGGCTGTCACTTTCCTCTCATCCTGCTCCTAAAGTGCATCGCGTGCTCCTGTGGTTTTAGGTGGCAAGTGGCATCACACTGAGTGAAAGGAGCACTGACTCCTGCATGTAAAATGTTTCCTTCTACATCTTCTTCACCTTAACAAGTGCAAATAGGCAGTAAGTGTAAGGCTATTTTATAAGCTCTTGAGGAAACAGTTGCAGAAATCACCTGCCAAAGGCCTACTCAGGGGAGTTTCTCCGGCCTGCTGTCATGGAGATGAGGGAGATGGAGGCTGAGGACTGAGGTGTGACAAGCAGCTTCAAAGGAGGTAGTGGTTTCTCAGGATTTCGGAGCCTTTGGGGTTCAATTTAGCTCACTCCTTGCTCCCATTCAGCCTTGTGGGATGTGTAGCTCAAGGGATCAGGGAGGATTTCCCAGACCGTGGTCTGGCTGCACCCCGGATAGTGCTGTGGTCAGATGGTGCTTGTCACACCGTCCTTCACCCCCAGCCTGTCAGACAGGGGAAAGAAACCCAGGGAAAAGACCCAGGGGAAAGACTCAGATGGGATGTCAGGGCATTGCCAGGTCTCACTCACACTAACAGGGAACACAAATTGATGGCACTCCACAGTGTTCAGGTGAATGAGAGTGCCACTGCAGAGACCTCCAGATATGCCAGTTGTTGCTCATTGTGCAGACTAGAATGGCGTAGATAAAGCCACAGCACCAGGGTCTTGACTCAGCCATGTAGTGGCCAGGTTTGGTGGGAGGCAGCCCAGCAGTGTGCTGCACGCAGCAGCATATCACTGTGGAAATGCAGCTACAAGATGTCCCTCCAGCACAGGGCAGCTAACGCAGAGGTGCAGGGATTCACATCTGAGCTGCTTTCACCCCTCGGAGGAAGCTGTCTCCACAAAGACAAAGTTGGGTTGGAGTGCTTTGAACTGGTGTCTGTGCCTCTACATATTTGGAGTCGATATCAATATGCAAATTTAAACATTTTCTACTCAAAAGAAGAGCAGAACATTACTCAGCTGGAGCCCCAAGAAAATGCAACTTTGCGTTGCAAAATTCCATGTTTGGGCAAAAGATGAGTTTTGCAATGATAGATGTAATCCCTGAGGAGGAGGATCTGTGGGCAGAAGGCTGAAGATATCGTTACAGAGCCACAAAGCCTGCAATTTATTACAAGGACATTGCTAACACACATGTAGGCTGTGCTTGTGCATGCATTATACTCCCATAAATATGATGAGCGTAGGGCTTTTCTGATACGGCATAAGGGTTTTATTGGCTTGAGTTAAGGAGAAGTATTTTATCTACAAATGAGCAGGTGGTACTTTGCGAAAGAAATTTTTTAAGGAATATCCACATTTGATGAGCCTGTTCTTTATAAGTGGTGAAAATTTGAAATGGTTTCTAATATTAGAAGTCACGGGGAGGAGTATGCTAATGCTGTAATGCTCTTGTGCCATATGAGAGATTATATCGTAGATGAGATACTTTTTTCACATGTCCTTGTAACTTCTCACACATATTTCAAACTTTATCAGTTCTGGAGATTTGCAGCCTCTTCCTGGGACACAGAAGCAACAGGGGCAGCTCTTGTTGCAAAGGCATCATAGATAACAGGCAACCCACAAAAGAGTGTTGTGGGCACATGCCTCCCTCAATCTGCCTTTCTATATTTTTTGAAGTTCAGCCCTAAATCAGGAAGATGTTTACAGTTGAGCATATTTAACTCTGAGCCTCTGCTTTTAGAAGATGGATAGTTTCATGAATCAGGATTTGTAAGTATAAACAAAACCCAAGCATTTATGCTTAACATAGTAGGCCCGCTATTGAAAGAGAATGTTTTCTTGTGTTCTCTCTCTGCACATGGACACACACACGTTTTCACTTTCCATCTTTATCAGATTGTCATTTCAATCTATTATCTTCATGGAATAACCTTGGATTTAAAGAGCAGAAGCCTTGCAGAGTTCCTGGTAACATCATTACAAACAATTCATGGTCAAAAATAGTGACAAATAGTTATTTAAAAAAAATGTTGAACCTGTTACATTTTGGGTGTGTTAACCTGTCTATAAGACCCACTGGTGTAGGAAAGGAACTATCAGCTGTAAAAAAATGTTTAATTGCTAAAAGTTCTTATGTTAGCTTTTTTAAGGATGTATTAACTGCCTAAAGTGAGGAACTGAATCAAAAACTGACTTTTTCTTTAGTCTTTCACAAGTGCTTTGAAATCCCCTAACATTTGCATTTAATCTTTTTAGACCAACTATGCTACGTTCCTGCAGAAGACAACCTATGTCCTTAGTCTCTTGTCATTTCCCTGTATACCACAGGTGTTTTGTTTATGCCAGTTCCCTTTGCTAAGTGTTTAAGTGTCTGTGAATTAAAAAAGCAGTATAGAAAAACTAGCTATCAAGGAATGGGAAGCTAAGATGCCCTTTTAACACAGTAGTTTCATAGCCTGGAATAATATGAACAGTATCGTTTTCTGAAGCCTGTTGTATGCAGTTAGCACCCTACAGGCAGATAAGAGAAAAGCTTTTGAACTTATGAAAAGTCATGCCCTTTAATCAGAGGCAGCTAATCTTTTGAATTTGCTTTACCCTGTAGACGACTGAACACACTGAACAAGTGCGCCTCAATGAAACTCGATGTGAACTTCCAAAGAAAAAAGGTAAGGAAACTTCATGAAATGTGCGGACTTTGCCTGGGATTTTGTGATAAGAGCTCCCCAATTTAGTTTTTAAGTCAGTATTGCTCTTAAAAGTAAGTTAAGTGTATTTGATTCCGAATGTGCGCGTTAGCATTATGTAGAAGGACAACGGTTTGCTGAATCTTGAAAATATAAAGAAAAAAGGAAAAACTGTGACGAATACAGCAAGAACAATACTATGTGTGTTAAAAGGGCACGTGCAATACTTAAAGCTTTATGTATCTGTGATTCAAGTTAGTGGGCAAAAAGACAGTGCCTTTTCATTAGGCAGGTTTGTTTGCCAATGCCGTGTGAGTACACAAAAAAAAATCCGGACAAGGAAAAATGGAAGCTCCTCGAATGGAAACAATAGGTTTTCTTTATTTCTTGTTCCGACTTATTCCTGCTTAAGAATATGAAAATAAATCCCATCATCCTTATAACTCCTGTGTAACATGGGAATTATTTGAGCTTAAAGGGTTTCGGCAAGGAATGCAGAAGCTGCCTATTGATTTTGAGAGTTTTGTAACATGCCCTGTGTTAACTGTTGAACGTTTGGCTTTCTAGTCACAAATTCCCCCAGGCACACAACGGGGTAGTGGTTGATGCTGAGAAATCTTGGTGTATATTTGTCTTTCTTAGACTGTTTGTCTAATGCTTTTATAAAAACTTCCTCCAAGAAAAAAAACTGCCATTTTTTGCGTTTTTGTAGAATCAGTCTATTTATACTGTGTACACTGTTTGAGAGAACTTGGACAAAGAATGGGTTTAGTGTCCAGATAGTCTGCCTTCTGCCCATGCCCATTTGTTTTCCTGTGTACGCAGCCTACTTGGTGTACATTTTGTCCATTCACTGAAGCCAGGGGGATCCCATCTCTTCTTCACTGCCTCAGCCCTAATGGATTTTTCTTGTCTTTGCTAAGTGCCAACACTTTCCACATCAAATACCCGCCTCACACCTGACAGAAAGAACAGTAAAATCCCCTGACTACAGAACCCTTTATGATTTGGGCAGGTAGGCACTACAGCGAGAGGCTGGGGTCAATCAGCAAAAGCCACTCAATCGATGGTGTCATTGACCTGCTTGGAGAGATTTCTGGGTTGTGTGTGTGCACACATGTACAAGCAGAGATATTTGAGCTGCACAAGGGACAGAACTGCAAAAAGCAACACATAGGTGAATGCTGATTATCCTTTGGAAACTCTGTGTAGATGTTAGTTCCTCTCCTGCTCTTTGACGTGTTTTAGGTTTGGTGTGAGGTTTTTATGCTTGCTTGCTTCGTTAGGTGTCTGATTGTGTTGGTTAAAAAAGGAGTATTTTCTTGGTATCATATTTTTTATTAAATTTAGCTACCACTCCTCCATCTTCTGAAGGGTTTGAAGCTCTCATCTGCTCTCCTTGTGGATGACCATTTTTTTTGCTGTGGGAGTGCAGCTGCCCTGCTTGGTATCCATTCAGGGGGCAGGAGCTAGTTCGGTCATGTGCATCAGGCCAGGGTGAAGCAGAGCACGGATGAATGTGGAGAAAGGGGACAGAAGAGATTTGGGATGGCAGATACAGAGCAAGAGAAAATAGATGAGAACGTGGGGGAGAGAAGATGAGAGAAGAGGGACTGCTGACAAAAGAAAATGTAAATGCAAGTGCAAAACCTGGAAACTGGGTCTAGAATTGACCACTGAATCAAGTAAACTTTTTTTTTTTTTTTTTAATGGTAGATACTGCCTTTCCTAATAGTCTCTATGGTGATTTGAACAATGAAGTGCAAAATCAGCTTGCTTTGGAGGTCCAGCATAACAGGTTCGCACAGGACGAGCGCAGCTGCTTGAGCAATTCATCCAAACACGGCCAAGCGAGCTGCCAGAGAAGGTTCCTGTGAAAGCCAACGAGGGGTGAGCGTTCCCCACCACCCACCCGCCTCGTGCTAGGAGGTGCATTCACACTGTGGGCTGCTCTCTTCCCGTTGGCTTCATCGAGACGCAAACAGAAATCCTTGTGTATGTGTTGCAAATATGTCCGTAAGCGATTTGGACAGACAGAGATTAGCTTTTGGATTAACTGCCTTCTGCAGCTGTCGATTTATGAGAATTCCTGCACCCAGCTGGAGAAATGTGGCAAAATTCCACCGCAAATAAACCTACTTTTTGCCTTTTGTTAGCATCCCTCAGTATCTTAGGAAAGTGTACCCTCGTTCAAAAAGCTGTACTATTTTAAATCAGCTGTAACAAATCTGTGAGTCAAAACCTCTTTCTCTTTGGCAAATGTTATCAGTCACTTCTCAAGAAACTTGCCCCTTCTCATCTTCCCAAGAATACTGGTATTAAATGGACTTTTGAACGTGTTCCAAAGCTGTGCACTTGATTTCAGCCTAGGTCAGTAGAAGTACACACTCGCTGCTCCAAGATGCCTGCTCCCTCTGCATGAAATGAATTGTGGCTTTGAGACCTACTTTCGGTCCTCTGTCCCCATAGCTGGTGACACGTCGGTTGGTAAAGTGCTCTCTGCATTTTTGGGGGACTATCTCATTTATCAGGGCACTCTGATATCTAACAAGAACAGTGGGTCATTCAGGATGTTTGTGGCTTCCAGAATTTCTACTGATTCCATCAGAAGAATAGCACATTATGTCACAGGACACACAGCGTAGCTGAATTTGGAGTGAGTCACCATAGCAGCATTTCAGTATCCAGATAACTCATCTGATTTTTCTTCTGATGAAAGACAAGCATGTTTCATTACCAATTAAAAAACTAAACTAAACTTTTTTTTTCTTTTTCTACATTTTTTGACTGATTCTTGGGCAGAACATAATCCTCTCTTTGCTGTGGTTAGTTGCAAAACTTGTTTACTACCAATTGCAATTTCTGTTCAATTCTACCTTCTATTTAAAAAAAAAAAAAAAAAAGAAAGAAAATTTATTTTTCTCTAAAAATTAGTTATAGTATATTCACCACTGAATTTATATTTATTTCTGTCTACTCATACTCTGTGCTCTCCTCTTGTTTTTCACAGTGTCTCTGTCACTTTGGCTAGTTTAATCTATTCCAGCCTGTAGAAAATACAGGCTAAATCCTGACAGTTCATACAGTAATGTTAGTGCAGCAACAGGGATTTGTATTAGCAAGAAATCTTCTGTAAGGTCCCCTTTGTTTATTGGGATGTACAATAAATAAAGATATTTTTTTTATCCTATTGGTTGGTGCCATAAACACTTCAGCAGTGATGTGCTTTGTAGATATAATTACCACCACTAAATATTTTAAAGTACATCCCTTGCAGTTTTTAAAATAACTACTTTGTGGCACTACAAAGACCACAATATGGATTTTGAAGAGCCTGAATCTCTTCAGTGCCGTCAACCATTCCTTATACACGTACAGCAAACTGCCAAGCTGAAATCAAGGTAGAGCTGGCAGATACTCTATTTCTTCCCTGCAGACAAAATGGTCAAAGTAGTGTTAGCCTTTTCCAGCCCCTTTCTTAATGCTTCACTAGCTGCTTAATTTTTCTCTCCAGCTAGCAGCAGAACTAAGATATCCATTCTTTCCCATGAACTAACACCAGCTGCAGGAGCACTGCACACCTCGACATTAACAGATAAAACAGGAATGACTAACCCCAAAATTTCATAGCTGTATTTTATTTTATAGCTTGGACATGATCTAAAACATCTGGCTGACTTGAAGTGATAAACTGGGAAAAGCTTATGGCAAGAGGGAGGCCTGGCACACTGCTGATCCCCATCTCTATCTCCTGAGGTTTCACATTATTTAAGATTTAGGGGTTCTGGTAAATTTGTTTTACATTTTTCAATTAGACAGGCCAGTAGAGATCTAGTCAGAGATGGGAGATAACTTTACCATCAAAACTTCATAGAAAAATACTTCTAATAATAGACTTTTAAAATGAGAATTTTTCCAGTCCCAAAATAGTCTTTCTGGTTTAGCACCTCATTTTAGTCTGACAGCCTGTCATATTTTACTGCCTTCATACTGCTTCCAAGAATGTGAAGAGCTGTTTGGATGTCATGTAGGTGAAGTTAGTTTGTTCTGCTCTAAAACAAATGTACAAAAATAATGCAGTAAAAACCCAGTTGAAAGTCAAGGAAAGGATACTCATTAGCAGCTGCAGGCTTCACATCCTCAGAAAACAGCGAGTTTGACACTGTGTGCTTTATGCTGAAGATGTCTCTTTTTTGTCTGGGCAAACAGACGAGAAAAATGTCATGGGGAGAGCTATTTCATCCAATTTTTTTTCAAGATGCATGTTGTCTGCATTGAAGATTAGCTCCTGGAGCTGCCAAAGCATAAGCACAATTCTGCATGCCCAAGGCTGAGGGCTGGGGTCCAGATGAGACCAGGGAGAGCTGTGGGGCTGCTGCTGCCTTAGGAAAGATGGGGGAAGGTAAAAAGCATCGTGTAGGGAGTGGGTCATCATGTTTGGGATGCCTCTGGTGGCAAAGGCTGGCACTCTAAGAAGATTCATCTCAGTGGTGGGCACTGCCCCATTCAGGACTGAGCCTTGGTGCTCTGCATCCCCACACCTGCCCTCAGACTCACCCTGACCAAAATACCTCCAAGTACTATTCGTTACTGTTATTTTATTTTTAAGTGGCTATTTATCTGAAGTTATGTTTTTGAAACACGAATCTTGTTGGATTCACCTATCTGTGAAGATTATTGCAAATGTGCACTTAGTCCTCACTGCAAAACTAAGTTCAGCATTGGATATTCGCTGACTTGGGTTCTTGAATGGCCCATGTAGCTGTAGTACCCAGCTACTGCCCAGTCTGTACTGTATATATCTTAGCACTGTCCCTGTACGTCAGGTTTTTTCTATACTTTGACCTTTCAAAACCTGTTTGTTTTGTTGTTTTTTTTCTATGCATGTCACTATGAGCATCAGTCCTACGCAGCTTAGGGCATAGACAAACCACCCCACAGAAGCCAAGAGGCACTGATAGGACTTATGATCTCCCTAACAATGAGCAGGCTTTTATTCCTTACTCATTAAGATGCTCACTGCAGTCTTTACAATTAAATAAAAGAGGCTGTTATGAAAGGACTGATAGCTGATCTTTCATAAGACTAAGTTCAAGGAGACTTTGCCATTTCTTGCTCACATGGAGCAGCAGTCGCATTAATTCAAATAACAAGTCAAGGCACCTGCTTTTAATGTATGCCACTTGCTATTTTCCAGAGTGAAGATTCAGATGAAGAAGACCTCTGTGCTATCAGTAATAAATGGACTTTCCAAAGAACTAGCAGACGATGGTCTCGAGTGGACGACATTGATGTTTTGCTTCACCGATCAGACAGACATGGATCTTCAGGGGACATTAAAATGAAAAATACAACGAGCAGCGAGAGTGTCCTTACAGATCTGAGTGAACCTGAGGTCTCATCTATTCACAGTGAGAGCAGTGGGGGAAGTGACAACAGGAGTCAATCCGGCATCAGCAGTGCTGCCAGGGAGACCTGCGACTGCTCTGGCCAGCATGATGTAGAAAGCACACAGCTGTTGGACTCCACAGCAGTAAGCACTGTCCTGTTCCCCAAGGACAACCTGAAGAATGAGAAACCGACACGAACCAGAGCAAAAACCTTTCTAAAACGCATGGAGACACTAAAAGCAAAAGGTGTGCATGGAAAGCTAAAAGGCTCTGGAAGAACGGGTCCTTTAGAAATAAGTGGACCGATTCTTCAGCATGAGCCAAAGTCCTTGAAAGACATGCACTGTGTACAGATCGTCAATGGTGATCTCCAAAACATGGGACAAGATTCAGGCAAAAGAGGACTTTCATTTTCTGCCAAATCCAGCAGTGAAAGCAGTCAGTCCGAAAACAGCAGCAGTGGGGTGAGCACACCGTGTTTGAAGGAGCGTAAATGTCATGAAGCAAACAAGAGAGGTGGGATGTACCTGGAGGACATAGATGTTCTGTCAGGAGCAGCCTTACGACAAGTGGTGGACCAAAACCGCAAAAATGAATTTCATTCCCAAGAGAACTTGGTTGTGCATATTCCCAAGGACCACAAACCAGGGACCTTCCCAAAGGCACTTTCCATTGAAAGCCTCTCACCTACAGACACCAGTAATGGTGTAAACTGGAGGACAGGCAGCATCTCTTTGGGAAAACAGAACTGCTCTACTCCAAAAGAATCCGGATTGATGGCCTGCTGCCCTAAAGAGAGCAGAATTAGTATTTATGACAATGTGCCAGGTTCCCACTTGTATGCTAGTACTGGGGACCTTCTGGACTTAGAGAAAGATGTCCTTTTTCCTCATTTAGATGACATTTTGCAACATGTCAATGGACTCCAGGAGGTAGTAGATGGTTGGTCAAAGAATGTGTTGCCAGGTCTGCCGGTTGATGATGATCGGGTCAGGGAATCTCCATCGTTGCCTTTCCAGTCACCCACGCAGATCACACTTGATTTTGAAGGAAACTCTGTCTCTGATGGCCGGACCACGCCAAGTGACATGGACAGAGATGGAACATCCCTGAACGAATCAGAGGCCACTGGTGTTAGGGACAGGAGAGACTCTGGGGTGGGAGCATCTCTCACAAGGCCAAGCAGGTAGGTAGCAAGATGTGCATGCAAATCCATCTTTCTTCTTCCATTAAAAACAGAATAGACTGAAGTGAAGCAGAAGCAGACTCAGTCTGGGAGTCACAAGGCTGACATCATTACAGCTGTACTCATCCTGTGTGTGAAAGTGGACTTCCCAGAGAAAGTGTGGGACTTAGAAGAGACATCCTGCTTTGGAAACTCTTATGTGAAAACAGTGGAGAATGAGTGTAATAGAACAAACTAAGGCATTTTTTTTCTCTCTTCATCCATAATATCCAATTAAATAATAGGACACTGTATATATTGTGGAATCTATTTTCAATTGGTTCTTTGAAATTATTTACCCCAGTGTGTATGTGTACGTAGCCTCATGCACAGTTTGTATGCCTTAGTCTGCTTTAAAAATGTGTCTTTCTGTTCTCAAAGAGAATGTCTCTACCCTGCCCCAGTCCCTTACACATCTAGTTGGTATGATAGTATACAATTAACCTGTTAATAAAAATAAAAAGCAGGATTTGGTTAACAGCTGGGAGACCCATTATGAGTTAAGAGGGATGAGTTCCTCTTGAGTCAGAGGAGCCTGGCTGTGAGTAAAGGTCTGTGGATACATACAGCTGTTTGCAGGGTGGGTTTTTGTGTGCGGAAGCAGTGAGAAAATATTTGTTTCTTTCTGATCAGTCAGGGATCCTTACAGAGAATTCTTCCATGCCATGGTTTGCTGCTGATCACGCTTGCTCACCACCATCACAAGCAAGTGAACTCAGGCAAAATACTAAGTAAATAAACAGTGCCAAAGTTTGTAGGATTTGAGCCACAACTCTTGTTTAGCAAAACAAGGAACTGAAATGAGTTTTTTCCAATATATGCAGTATATAGAGAAAGTGTGCTGGGATAAAGAGAAGATGTGAATGTCTCAATAGCTTGGTGGTTATGGGTCTCACCTAGGAGAAACAGGTTTCAACCCCTTCTCTAAAAATCTTTCAGTATTTAATAATAGAGCTATTTTGAGAATTTTATCTTCCGTTACTTTGATGGTCAGGCTAGTCTCCTGGGAGCTGAGGGACCACACATCAAATCCCATTTCTGAGTCATTTTAATCTGGATCTCACACATCCTGTTGGAAGTGTGTAGGCTAATGGGCATAACAGGCCATGCTGCTTCCTTGAGTACGGGTGTTGGACCAACACCCACTTGGGAAACTAACATAAAAAAAATCAAAGCTTGATCATTTCCAAAATTAAGAGATTGAGCAAATTGAGCCTCCAAGCTATATTTTCTTTTAGTCAACATGCCATGAGCCATAATGTGTGTATGTTTATGTATGTTTTACATAATGCTCTATCTCACAGTATACCATCCTTTTCTGCCCAATTAAAGCAGTTGTCTTTCTTTCTATTGTCTATTTTTTTGCTAAAGGCGATTACGATGGCATAGTTTCCAAATCTCTCATCGTCTGAGCCACTCCATCGCATCACTTCACATCAGTAACCAGTCAGCAGCCCAGCTGAATCTACTGCAGAAATTTTCTCTTCTTCGTCTTACAGCCATCATGGAAAAGTACTCCATGTCAAACAAACATGGCTGGACCTGGTGAGTACCATCACTAATTGGAAAAGAGATATCATTAGGAGGAAATGTTTTTTTCCAATTCTATTATTTTGATAGAAGATTTAATTAATACAGTTCAGAGCAGCAATTGACTTTCACTAGAATTTGAAACTGTACCTTTTAATCTGTTGCTGCCTTGTGAGTCAGTGGCAGAAATAGATCCTGGAGATGTGACTTCATTCCTGTGCTCGAACAGAGTCAACCCCAGCCTCTCTAACAACACTCGAGTTCCAGAAAAATAAACAGGAGTAGGAGAGAGTGATTAAAAGGAGGAAGTGTTTACAATAAGTCTTCCCCAAAATTCATTTTGTGATTCAAAAAGAAACAGCTGCTGATAATATTTCTTGTATTTGATATTGTTTTGTTTGTGATTTAAAAGAAGTTAGAACAGTTACAGGAATTTTCTCTGCAGATTGAAAGATGCAACCTTTACCCTAGGTCTGGCCTTGCATTAACAGCAGCTCGCAGCTGTAAGAGCTGTAACACCTACCTGGTCACTCAGACAGTGGGGTCAAGGGCAGGTGGACATGAGTACCGGCAATGCAGCCCCTTTATATGCAACCAGCTACAGTAATCTGCATGTTTAATAGCATACTAACCCTCATGGGCCACATAGGCTGAGGTAGCCTGGAATGGAAACGGACATAGATAAAAAGATTGTAAGTATCTGAGAAATAACAAAAGGATAACAGAAAATTTCCCTAATACACAGATGCCGAGTCCAAAAATAATATGACTTGACATTTACATTGGGACTTTCACATTCAAAGCACTTCACCAAAATTCTTCTAAATCTGTTGTGGGCTAGATAAGACAAGATTACCTTCAGAAATGGAAAAATAGATACGAGGGGCTACTTGTGAGATCCACCTCACTAACATAAGGCATTCCAAAGAGTTATAAGTCTCATCTGAGCATGTCAGGTCTGCTGTCTTTGTGGTCAGTGACAGAAGGCAGGCAACTCCAAAGGCAATTTATTCTGTGCAAGACTTGAGATTTGGGTCACCCTTCAAAGGTGGGTGACCACGCTCCACAGTGAGTAGAGAAGCAGTCAGGACTGCTAAGTCTTTCTAAATCTCCTTCAAAGAGCTAAAATTCAGTAAGATGAGCCTCCAGTTTGCAGTTCTCTTTCGGTGCAGTTCCCTCTGGCTAGCTGTCAGCATGTCTGTGCTGAAATGAGTCTCACCTTAAGCAACTCCAAACAGGCAGATTAGAATACAGCAAAATCTAGATCCTGCTGTTTGTACAGAGGTTTTCCCTCCTGACAAATATTTCTTCAGTTTGTATAATCAGTCTCTAAGGATTTATAAGCAGTGGGACTCTAAATAGCTGTAAATCTTTATGCTGTACTCCTTCAGTAGGTCATTTAATCCAAGTTTTATCTCCTTCCCACACAGAAGAGAAAATCTTTGTCATATTCAGGTCATATTCATCCTCTGTTGTTTTGAATTCCACTGTAGTCATGACTCCCACAGAGGGAATCCAGTTTCTTCCCATTTTCACCATCATTTAAAGAAGAAAGCAAGCTTAACAGCTTCACTTAAGTAACTTGACTAGAATTGACTGCATGACACCAGGGATGCAACTGGCACATAGGGATTTCTCACCATCATTCATTACTGTAAATTGTTAGGCAACAGAAATGCTAAATCACATAACTGATGGTATAAAAAATCATTGTACGTGTTAGAGGACTGAACTTTCCTTTTCTTTCAGATATTCTCTCCAGTATGCTTTGCTGTGCAATTCCTTTGAATCCTTAATAAAGGAGTCCTTTTATAATGAGTCCATGGTTTAAACTGTGTTGTCTTCAGCTGAATGACAACAGCACATTAAATGTTTTTTCTTAGAGCAGATTGTCATGGTATATCTTGGAGACAGAGGCCATCTACCTGTAAAAGTTATCAAGAAATTCATCAGTTACACAGACTGTAAAGTGTCCATATATTGCCCATTAAACATTATTTGACTATCTTTATTGAATAAGAGATGGTCCCAGTTACCAGTTTCTGCTCACAGTGTTACTCAAAAAGGTTCTGTAAATACTCCGATATTTTCATGTACTCTGTTCATATTAATTTTCAGGTCTGTGCCAAAGTTCATGAAGCGAATGAAAGTACCTGACTACAAGGACAAGAATGTCTTTGGTGTGCCCCTGATAGTTCATGTCCAGAGAACAGGACAGCCGCTTCCCCAGAGCATACAGCAAGCACTACGTTACTTACGGAGCAACTGTTTAGATCAGGTATGAACTTTACTCCAGGGACATGGTTGATTTTTCTGTAAAGACACACTAAGCAAACAATGGTGGACCTTTTTGTACTTAGCACCAGAATTGCTTGAAGGGTCCTATATCTCATGTTGGGCCCAGATTTCCTCCAGTGATTTGATACCTGATGCCAATACTGATTGTTTGTCATTTGAAGATTTGTATTGAGCTAATTAGTTGAATTCTTATAGACATAACAGTCTTGCTGATTCATACATAACAGCCTACTTCAAGGAATGGTGTGGGATCTTCCTGTCTATTGAGTCAGTCCTGAGAAGAATTCAGGATTCCCAGCTTCCACCCGTAAGCTTATGGTTAACTATTGCCACTAAGAGTTAAATGCAGTCACCATTTCACAAGATATGGTACAAAAAGTTTTATTTACTTAGCAAAGAAACAAAAGTCCAAGAACAGAGAGCAAACTCAGCAAAATATTCCAAGCATTCTGTTGACAAAGTCAGATGTATCCAGATAGAGTTGGGTCAGCAGGGGTTCAATGCCAAAGCCATTACGGTACGTTTCCTTTTATAGCATTCCTATCTGCAACAAGCCAGTTGGGGAACCCGCATGCTCCAAGCATTTCAGGTGTTTTCATTCCCTTTAATTATGAGCAGGGCTGTCATATTTTTTACTTTCTTCCCCTAAGGATGCTGAACAAAGGACTGGAAGAACCCCCTGACTCACTGGGTTCATTTCTCTATTACTATTAACATCATGGCATATAACTGCTTATATAAATGCTTTTAGATAGTTGTAAGTTTGAAAGGGGGAAGCAGCATTTTATTCTGCAGGCTTTGTTGCTTTCGCAGCTCTGAGCACACAGAAAGGGTGTAAGTGGTCAGTTCTGAATCCTTCAATTTCTGATCCATATTCTGGTTGCTATTCAGGCTATTGAAAGACTTTCAACATCATCAAGTCCAACCATCAATCTACCCACTTAGTCCCATCACTAAACCATGTTCCTTACTGCTACCTCCACACATCTCTTAAATACCTCCAGGAACAGGGACATCACCACTTCTTCTGGGTGGACCATTCCCATGCTTGACTACCCTATCCATGAATAAACTCTTCCTGTATATCAAATCTAAACCTCCCTTTGTGCAACTTGAGGCCATTTGCTCACATCCTATCACTTGGCACTTGAGATCAACACCCTCCTCACTGCAACCTCCCGGCAGGCAATTGTGGAGAGCGATGTTTCCTCTTCTGCAGTCTAAGCAACCCCAGTTCCCTCTGCTGCTCCTCATAAGTCTTGTTTTCTAGTTCCTTCACCAGCTTCATTGCTCTTCCCTGCACAAGCAGGTCACTATCGTTCTTGTCATGAGGAGTCCAAAACTGAACTCAGTATTCAAGGCACACTCTCATCAGTGCCACAGTACTGTGGACAATCACTTCCCTAGTCCTGCTGGCCACACTAGTTTAGATGCTGGCCAGTATGCCACTGTCCTTCTTAGCCACCTGGGCACACTGATGGCTCATGTTTAGATGGCTGCCGACCAGCACTCCCAAGTCCTTTTCTACCAGACAACTTCCCAGCCACTCTTCCCCAGGCCTACACTTCTGCACGGGGTTGTTTTGGCCCAAGCACAGATCCTGGCACTTGGCCTTGTTGAACATCTTGCAATTGGGCTTGGCCCATCAGTCCAGCCTATCCAGATCTCTCTGCAGAGCCTCCCTACCCTCAAGCAGATCAACAGTCCCACCTCACTTGGTATTGTCTGTACCTACTAAGGGTGCACTCAGTTATGTGTTCCAGATTGTTGATAAAACTGTTAAGCAAAACTGGTCTCAATACCAAACCCTGAGGAATACCACTAGTGACTGGCCACCAGCTGGATCGAACTCCATTTACTGTGACTCTGAGCCAGGCCCTCCCCAGCAAACTGTACTTCTATCCAAGCCATGAGCAGCCAATTTCTCCAGGAGAATACTGTGGGAAATGTCATAAAACACTTTACTAAAGTTGACGTAAACAACATCCATGGCCTTCCTCCATCTACTAGGCAGATCATCTTGTCACAGAAGATCAGGTTAGTCAGGCAGGACCTGCCTTTTATAAACACATGCTGGCTGCTTCTGATCACTCGATTGTTCTGTATGTGCCATGTGATGTTGGGTGACAGTCGTGTTCCCCAAAATGGAAGTCTGAAAATTAAATGTCTAGCAGCTGTGAAACACAGCTGTTTCCTTTTACAGTCAGGGGAAAGACATAGGCCCTTCTTATCATTTTTCTCTGTTGACTGTACAGAGACCTTGTAGCGGTCAGACCTTGACAGCTAATTCCTTGGGTGTTGAAAGTGAGGTGAGATGAGTTGTACTAACTGTAATGTAGCGTGGGAATCAAGGGGTGGGAGGAATAACTTGTTGAAAATGTACTTATAGGGGTTGGAAGTGGAATATGCATAGAGACAATTAGAAAAAAATATATATTTTATAGCTAACATTCCTGGTAATCAATGGGGTAATCTGGGTTTGAGCTGGGAAACCCAGTGTAAGAAGAAAAGTTATGCTGCAAGCCTGGAATCAGTGATGCGATGGAGATGGAAGAGGAGAAAAGTGCCTAAGTATGAGGAAAGGAGATGGGGAGATAAAGATGGACTAGTCAGAAAAGTAGCAGAGCAATAGGAAGAAAGAGTAAGGAGAGGAGGAGAAAATAGGGAAGGGAGAGTAAAACCAAAGAGAAGGAAAAAAGCTCATAAGAGATTTGAGACAGTCAAAAGGAGTGTCCATGGGCAGTCTCAAACAAGTATCTGTGCCAAGAAGGAGGGCTTAGTTGCTGGGAAGCATCAGAGCTACACGAAGGGTCATTTCAGCTCAGCTTGAGTTTCAACTCAGGGTGGAATTGAGAAAATACCGAATAGACAGTGAAGAAGGAAAAGTACAGATCAGGATAATTTAAAATATCTTTCCACCAAAAACCTTTCTAGGCCAAAAAGCTCCAGGCAATACAGCTTCTCTGCTTTACAGTCACTTCCTTTGTTCCCATTTAATTCAAAGTCTCCTAATGCCCGGCCAGAGGTCTAAGCAGCATCCAGTCTTCCCAGCATCAATGTCCATTCTGTGCATTGCAGAAGGCAGTCTAGAGTCCAGAAGAGGCATCAGAGCTTCTGCACTTAGTAAAGTTGAGGTTGCTTTACATCATTATAAGGTCTGGGTCCTGACACTGAAATGTCTGACATGTGAGGAGCATCACCTTTATTTGTGGAATATGTTATTCAGTTTCAGCTTCTGAAATAGAAACTGCTTTGCCTTTGTCAACTGCATCTTTATTTCCGCTATGCATCACAGGGCTGCTTGCAGGGTAGATGATCCACAGCATGAGGATAATAAAGAGATGGGCCAAACTAATCTCTGAAAAATCACTGGATTTATAGTCCCATTTTATTTAGAGAAAATCTGTAGTATCAGAGAACAGAGCTAAAACATCTCTTTCTATCAAGCATAAAACTGTCCTCGTTCTATTAATTGTGAATCCACAACACCCCCCCCCAAAAAAAAAAAAAAAAAAAAAAAAGAGTTCAGATAAATATAATTAAACAAAACAGAGATTGAGAGTAGCAAAACGATGTGCAGTAGGAGAGCAGGAGATTGTGCTGGTGAGATCTGATGTCTGACCTCTCACATCAGACTTAGCTGGAAGTTTTTAAAAGATTCTTTATACCAGCAAGGACTCTTTCCATCAAAATCAGTGAACTGAGCTTTTGCTCTCACCATTTATCTACCACATACCAAACTGTATTATTTGGATAGAATTAGCATGTGTCCTTCTGTGTCTTCAGCACACATTTCTAAGAGGAAAAGGGATTTGAAAGGAAAAAGGGAAAGTGACAAATGAAAAGAGACAGATGCTCTTTCTTGTATTTCTTGTATTCTTTTGTCAAAACTAAGGAGAGCTTCACCTGTGAACAGAAATACAATATGCCAGCATGTACAAAGGGCAAGTTCCACTTCTGTAATTCCTAAATATGAATAATAACAAGTCATAGAAGAGAAGCAGCTCACTGCCACTGCTTGCAGTCTGGCATAGGAGCTCATCTCCGTATAGACAAATACATCCCCTCCCAGAGCTGCATAGTATGTGATTCATGTCATCTCTGTTACTAATGGACGAGTTAACAAAAGTCCTAAATATCTTACAATTGAAATGTTCTAGAGAGGCAGCTCAGGATGGAGGGCACATTTTGCTGCCTTTACACTTTTTTCTTGGTGTGCAGAAGGCTGAAGAGCAAGACAGTGGACACTGAAATGTGCCTTTTTATAGATCTTTCTCAACAGTTCACCTTTTCCCCTGCAAAACTGTGGGCAAACAGTGCTAACATTTCCCAAATGAAAGCCTGGAAACTCACTTGGGAATAGATAATGTGGTTGAGGCTCAGGAATTCACCCCAGGGGAATTCCATTTGTGAGAACTTCTGTGGCAGGGCAGCACTGCTGTGAAGGCACTCACAGGCCTCATTTTAAGAATTACCACTTCCTCTAGAATTGAAAGCAAACAAGATAAAAAAGTATCTTAGTGACACTGCACAAATAATCCCTCTGCGGCCTCTGCTTTCAAACTGGGGTTTACAGTGGAATCTGGGGGAAGCAGGGAGCAGGAAGGGGAAAAAATAGATTTGGTCTTGATTTGAAAGCTCTACCAGGACGTACTAATCTTTTGCCACAGCATTTATTACTTAGTCGAGCATAATGTTTTCTTGTTAGTCTTCAAAATATATACCCAAATAAACATGAGGAACCAGATTCTCAGCTGGAGTAAATCAGCAGACAGTCACCGAAGCCAAGCAAGCCACACTGATTTATATCAACTAAGCATCTTGCTTATACTGTTCAAGCAGCAGCATACTAACCACATGCACTCTGAACTCTCCGTCTACCATCTGATGAAGAGTTGCAGTGTGATTAACTCTTACTACCCCACCATCAGTTGTATACAAGACTGTAGGCAAGTCACGGCTGTGACATTTGCATGAGTTCCTCTTGCCCTTGCCTAGAAGTAAAATAAGCAAACATAGCTTTGGTCATAATCAAAACCTCCTGTAAAACGTGTTTGGTTTTTTCATATATATGTATTGTAAGTTACATTGTATTTATACCCAAATCCACATGGCACCTTTCTAGGTGGGTCTGTTTCGAAAATCTGGAGTGAAGTCCCGAATTCAGGCCCTGCGTCAGATGAATGAGAGCTCCCCAGAAAATGTCAGCTATGAAGACCAGTCAGCATATGATGTGGCAGACATGGTAAAGCAATTTTTCCGGGACTTGCCAGAACCTCTCCTCACAAGTAAACTGGGAGAGACTTTTCTACACATCTACCAATGTGAGTTGCAGTATTTTTATTCCTATAAACAACTCGAAGTTATTATAATCATAAATTGTAAAAAATTTTGATGTGTTAACACTGAGTGAGGTTCTTCCTGCTCACCTCCAAGATGTATAAAAGAACCTCTCTGTGCTCCACATCTATAGCTGAGAGATTTTCAGAACTGCCTAAAGGCTTCAGCATTAAAATACTAAGAACTTTAATGCAAAGACAGTGTTCAAACCTTAAGAAGCGTTGAAAATATTAACCTTACAATCAGAAAGATGCCAAAAGGACAGACAGGCCATAGATATAAACAGTGTGAATAGACTCCCATTTTTGTCACACTTCTTTAAATTGTGAGCCCATTTCATGTAGACCTCTAAATACAAGTTAGTCTTTCCAGCAAGAAGAGGTACTTGACCATGAGAACATGCAGCTGTGCAGTCCTCTTCGTTGCTGTGACTTGATTATTTGCCTTTTAATTATAGTCAATAAAATGTACATGGAAGCAACAAGCTACCTTCATTTACATCCTCAGCTTTTATGTAAAGATATCATAGAGAAAGCAAAAAGCCAAGGATTTCTTCTTTTCATCTCAGCATAAGCAGTCTTCAGCAAAACCTGAGACTCAAACGCATCAGAATGGTGAGAATCCATGTTAATCAGGAAACGACTGTGTATCTCTTGTCCAAACTGAGAAGTAAACAATGAAGAAAACACTGAAAAGCCAAAGGAATTAGAGATTTCCTGAGAATGTCCATTATGAAGGCCTATCAGTCATTACTCTGGGAGATACAAACAGGCGTACCCAGCCAGCCTAAGCCAAATAATTTGAAGTGCTAAAGAGATGTCTACTCTTTTCACTTGCAGATGTTTCAGCTGCTGTAACAATAGAAAGACATTTTAAACACTGTATTGTCCCAAGCTAAAGTATCTAAGTTACTTCTGTGCTTCCCTCTACTGTTAGAGCTGCCTGTGGTGCATAGTCACTAATTAATTTAACACCATGGTGTCTTTAAGCTGGTAGAGAAGTGCTGAGATCCTGCATGTGTGAGAGAGCACTGCAAATAAATTCAGTGGATTTTGTCATATGGAATGTTGTGGGACACACGTGACCTGAAATAGTTGGTGTCCAGTCTTGGAGCATCATTTTGCCCTCTTCTTTCCTGCTCACAGGTTGCAGGACATGTCTGCCTGCACATACATCAGTGAGCTTTTTCAGACAAGCAACAGAAAACCTTGGTGCTCACAAAATGGCAATCACAATCGTTTCCGTCAGTGAAGTGGCCAAGGAGAAGATTATCAGCTAGAAGGACATGTTCTACATGTCCTTGGAAACGAACCACCTTTAAACTATTGTGTGACAAAAATTGGAAGAGTCCTATCTTGGCGTAGGAGTGATGCAGAAATACGGCAGATCTCAATGCCATCAGTGTTACTGGGTCCGTAGGAATCCCCATTTCCAAGTCCAGAGCCTGCCATTAGGATTCACAATGGCCAAGAGGCTGAACAGTGCAACATTGCTACCAGCCAACAAAAAATGCTGGAAAAAGGCGCCCGGACTGACTCTGTGACCCTATGTGGAGTTGCAGTGGGAAGTCTGAAGAAGTCTTTTTACACTAGTGGGAGTAAAAAGAAAGGCTAGGAAAGATATTCTTGAACTGCACAAGTGCTTAAAAGGATATTCGGAAATATTTGATCATGGGTCTGTTTAGAACAAGGTGGGAAAAGGAAAAAGTGGGCTTTTGTAGACACTGGAGAACAATGTTTGGATTAAAAACAAGTAGCAGTGTTTGTTTCCACTTGGACAACAACAAATATGTTTTTCTGTTTTAGATGGTACTGACAGAAGAATGTTGAAAATTACTGGGATACCAATTGTATTTCATAATGTCTGCAATTAAATAAGTCTGTAGCTGGGACTTTTTCTTCCCATTCATCCTGTTTAACAAATTATTAATGTGAGGTTAGAAGAGATTTTTTCCTCTCTTAGTTTGTTGGCAAGGGATTTCTGATTTTCTGGGAGTTACTGAACATCTTTTTCAGATATCCAGGACTTTTTTCATATACCCCAAATGGTTTGATTTCCTTTAAAACAGAGGAGTGGGGATGAGAAGATTAGTGTTGTAGTCTATGTGGCTTAGCACTGATGAAACTTTCTCCATTTTCCTAAAACCCTCCACTGCCTATTGTTTACAAACCTGTGGCTTGAAAGGTTGGCCAGTCTTCTCTATGTACGAGACCTGCCAGCACAGCAGGACAGATGGATGAGTACCAGGAGGGTATGTGGGATGAAGACAAGTTCCGTGGATTTAGCAAAGGCTCCTCTGACTTCTCAGAAAGACCTGGCCTTGCCGCGTCTTGAAAATCAAAAACATTGCACTGTGTTCATTTTGTCACTCACATTTAAAAGCTTTTAAAATAAAGTGCTTGTGCAAGGCTAACAGGCAGAGCTTAAAAGCTGGCTGTTCCCTGTACTGTAATTCTGATTTTGTTGTTCTTCTCTTTGATTATATTGAGTGTATGTATTACCCAGAGGAGGGCTCCAAATCCAAACTGAGAAAACGTACGGGAGTTTTAGATATGAATTTGTCTGAGATGCTATTTAAGCATATCCATTACTGCTTTCACGAAAGTGTCTTACAGCTTAGGGCATAAGCGTAAGTATTTTCCTGAAGCTTCTCTAAGACTTGTGAACTGTCTTCTCAAGGGACAAAATAAACCCGAAAAGTAACAATTAAAGATATGAGTAGGTGCTCCTTTCATAAATTTTAAATGAAGTTCAGACTTTTCTTGTGAAACACCTTTTGAAACGAAATGAGGAATGCCATCAGCTGGCTAGGCAAGCTGTGTGTGATGGAAGAGCAGACACCACAGCCTTCCAGCAGCCAGCTGGTCTTCGCCCCTTCATCCCCTGTCATCTGCCTCTTCAGAAAGCCATTCCCAAAGTGTGAATTCTTGTTAACAGGATAGAGTTAACCCAGCTATCTCGGTGTTAGATAGAGTCAACACAATTAGCCGGTTGTCTTCCAGGCTCCGTATTTGATCCTGCAATTAACCCTGCTGAATGTTGTTGCTTTTCCACAGATGTCCCCAAGGAGCAGAGGCTGCAGGCGGTGCAGGCGGCCATCATGCTGATGTCAGACGAGAACCGGGAGGTTTTGCAGACCCTGCTGTGCTTCCTGAGCGATGTCACCTCCGTGGAGGAGAATCAGATGACTCCTATGAACATAGCTGTTTGTCTGGCCCCTTCCCTCTTCCATCTCAACATAGTGAAGAAGGAAAGCTCTCCAAGGTAAGTTTCTTCTTAGCACTATAAATAGGCATGTCCTTAACACGAGAGGATGCTTCCAGTGTTTCTAAAGGCCTACAGGCTAACATTTTCCAAAGTGTCTGCTTTCCACGACACGATACGCAGGGCATGGCTTCAGCAAGAGGGGAAAGCCGATACTGCAGAGCCAGCAGCACACTTGCATATGCACAGAAGGTGTTTTCGCAAGCCCAGCAGGGTGTTTCTGTCTGTGCAGTGTGAATATGCAAGTGCTGGCTTTTCATGCAAAATTTCAATGACACACTAGTGAGTTTTGCATAAGTAATGTTGGCTTCTGAGAAGGAAAAGGGGCCGATTTTGCTCTGGTTGAAGTCAAGGACTAACCATGTTTTGCTCAGTTTTCACATGTCCTTTTTCAGTGAATGTTACAAGGTGTAAAGCCGTATCCTTGATAGAGCCAGTGGGTGTTTGCAGAAATGAAGCGCGACGCTTGTTAAGGGAACACCAGGCACAGGCAGGACAAGTGTGGGACTGTAGAACAGGAAATCCTGATCCCACTTGTATCACAGAGTTTATTTCAGGCTGTGTTAAGGTGATGTGTAACACGATGAGTGTAGCTTAAGCAGGGCATAGGCCCCACTAAACATAAGCAGCCCCAGCTTGATGTCCCTTCTGAGATTTTTTCCGGCTTTTACCTTTGCTGCAGTAATATTTTAGATAAACATTTCTCTTTTAAAAAAGGCCCAGTGGTCTGAACAATCTTTGTGATAAACACGAGTTAAAGATAGACATTTCACTCTGGTGTTAAGAACATCCTGCAGCTATGTTTGCTTTCATATTAAAAAGACTCAGCTCTTTTTACCTGAGACACTGAATTCAATTACAGAGTAATACAGAAAAAATATGCAACAGGGAAGCCAGATCAGAAGGACCTCAGTGAAAACCTGGCAGCTACTCAGGGACTTGCTCACATGATAATGGAATGCAACAAACTTTTTGAGGTGAGTGAGAGACTCAAACAGCATTATTCATGGACACATAATGCAGTATCCTTTGAAGTATTTATGTTCATGCTTACATTTTCTATCTGCTATTAGCACGGAGATTGATGGTGCTTCACTTATTTGTAAACCTGCTCCATCTAAAATTTATTTATCTCATTTCTTCATGACTGTTCCCTACTAGCAGTTGAAGGTGCAACTATTAAAAATGCAGAGTAATTATCTGTGGCAGTTTTCAACCCAAATTACAGGATTAGGAAATTTTAGTTTAATTAAAATCAAAATCTGCTGTTTTAACATTTCATTTTATTATAAAGCTTATAGTGCCTCAATTAAGACTAATCCATCTCAAGAAGAATAGCTGATACATTTTTTTGTGTGTTATGCAATAAAGTTAAAATCACGCAGGGAGATGCAGCCATTCCTTGAGCTACTTTCACTGCACGTATAGGAGAGGTAATGCTTATAACTCCCTTCCCCAAGAGCACAAAGCAACATTTCTAGGGGAGTGATGCAGTTGTATTGACATAGAGTTGATCAGTCTAATGTGGTTCTGCCTGAGTAGTGCTATTCTGCCCCATTGACTGTTCCATTATATTGCCTTGATTTCTCAGCTTGTGTAATAAGAAAAGGCAGAAATAGGTAACCATTTCCCTGATTGTCGGCTCGTTGCAATTGGATGCTAAGTGGTCCATCAGCCTAGAAAGCACTGCTTTAAGGAAAAGTTCTCAGCAGGAGTTTTTCCCTGTGTGCTTTCTCCCACCTCCGTGGCGCAGGTCCCACACGAGATGGTAACCCAGTCCCGAAACTCCTACATTGATGCAGAAGTGCATTCTCCCACCCTGGATGAACTTGGGAAACAAGTAGATGAGGAAGGAGGGAGCTACCAGACGTACCTTGAAAGTCTCATGCAGAATCTCCAGAAAGAAGCAAAAGAGAAATTCAAAGGATGGGTCACTTGTTCCAGTATGGAGAACACAGAACTCGCCTACAAAAAGGTAATTTGTGGAGACACGGAAGAGGCAGTAAACACACAAAAGTGAAACACACCCTACCTGTGGGACCCACCAGCTTGTTGCATGACTAAACCCTTCCGTCTGCTGATGCAGATGATTTTTTAAAAGACCACTAAAACCCATTAAAAATGTAATGTAATAGTGATCCAAGTGGGAGATACCAGGACGAGGCACACAAAACAACCTAAGGTCTCAGAAAAATGGATGAAGTGATACAGCCAACAATGCAATTGGAGAGAGGGCTGGGAGTTAACATATAACATTACCGGGATAAGATTTTGACTGGAAGAGACAATTTCTGACTGTTGCCTGTTCTTTGCCAGCAGTTCAGAGCACACAGTCAGAAGAAAGGTATTAAAAAGCTCTTCAGACTACATATTGTCTTGTTCTTGTTTCCAGTGCATTTTTGATAACTGCAGCCTTTATTGAAATTTCTCAAGCTGCTCCAGTCTCGGTCACTCCTGCAGGGAAAGCCAGACGGCTGCAGACAGAAGGTGCTGCAGGGTCCCTGCAGGCAGTGGGAGGCCAGGAGTGCTCAGCATGGAGAAGAGGAGGCTCAGGGGGATCTCATCCGTGTCCCTAAAATCCCTGAAGGGAGGGTGCAGAGAGGCCGGAGCCAGGCTCTGCTCAGTGGTGCCCAGTGCCAGGACAGGAGGCCATGGGCACAGCCGGGCACCCAGGAGGCTCCCTCTGAGCACCAGGCAGCACTGCTGTGCTGGGCGGGTGACGGAGCCCTGGCACAGGCTGCCCAGAGAGGCTGTGGGGTCTCCTCCTTGGGGAGCTCCAAAAGCCGCCTGGACGTGGGCCTGGGCAGCCTGCTCTGGGTGTCCCTGCTTGGGCAGGGGGGGTACCAGGGGCTTCCACGGGCCCTGCCAGCCTCAGCCATCCTGTGGCTCTGTGATTCTGTGAAAGCCACTGGAAGGGGTGTGGGATCTGGGTGGTAAGGGGACAGGAGGCATCATTTCCCCTGTTAAGTTCTATTCCTCTGTTAGGACAAAGAAATCACAATTCTGATTTACAGTCAGCTTCTGTGCATGCCTCCTCCAGGGAGGCACTGCAGGAGGTTGAGGAGGCAGGGCTCAGGTGGGAGTAGGATGTGGGAGTGGGGAGGGAGTGAATGGGGCACAAGCATTGAATCAAGCACATGGGAGACTGTAGAGGGGACTGGGAGCAGCCTAGGTCTGGGGCAAGAAGACTGGAGAACTGACAGCTATGGGGAGGAGGAGTTATAACAACATAAAATAATTTAAAATAGGATATGTGGCAGCTGGGTTTCTGGAGACACAATCCTGTGTCTGTGAGAGGTGCTGGGGGGTTCTGGAGCACTTGAAGTCATATGTGAAGATGCCAGGAAAGCAGGGCTTGCAAGATCCAGATAATTTGTTTGCTGCCTGAAAGACAACAACCCTGAAATTATGCAGAAATGTACGTGTGTCATTTAAGATACTCATCTTACACATAACCCAGCACTTTGCACTCCCCTTACTGCATGCTGTAGAGGTGTAACAGGAGCCATGAGCTAGTAAGATCTGGCAAAGAGTTTGTGTGTTCCTTCTTGGAAAGGTGCTTTCCCAATACATCCCTTGCAGCTATTTTGAGGAGGAAACATCTGTGTATCTGACACAGAAGTGAATCAACATGTTTTCTTCTTCTTCAAGTTCCGTTCTTCCACTAATTAGCCAGGCAGGCTGGCCCTCAGTCCCAGCCACTGCCCAAGGTGGTGGCTTCGTTTCAGACCAGTGTTTCAGTCTGTCCTTTCATCTGTTTTCAGTCCTACACGCACATATTCATTGCACTTCGGATGCTTGAGGTTGAAACAGCATCTGTCACACCACACATAATACAGCAGCTCTGCTGGCACAATGAGAACTGGTCCAGATACACGTGGCTGTGAGAGCAGAAGTATGGTTATCACTTCATTTTCCATCCGGGACTAGTGTGCAGATGTTTTCACATGCAGAAGAGGAGCAGCAATAGCAATAATAGCGATGATTAGCAGGGAAATTTGCATGCTCTTAAGCTTCATCTTAAGCTCAAGTGGGATACCCATATCAAGATTTTGTCCTGTTACTCTGTGCTGAATATTTGCATATAAATCATGGGGTTTTATGCTCTTTATGCTTGCTTTACTCCAGGTTGGGGATGGGAACCCTCTGAGGCTTTGGAAGGCGTCAGTGGAAGTGGAGGCCCCCCCGTCAGTTGTCCTGAACCGAGTGCTGAGAGAACGGCACCTCTGGGATGAGGACTTCTTGCAGTGGAAGGTGGTTGAGAGCCTCGACAAGCAGACAGAAGTTTACCAGTATGTTTTGAACAGCATGGCTCCTCATCCTGTCCGGGATTTTGTTGTCCTAAGGTAAGCTAAGGGCACTTCTCCAGTAGCTTTGCTTCCTGCACTGCGGACCAGGAAGATCTGTTCTTATCTCACCTCAGCCTTAGCATCTGTAAATGGTGCGTTGAGAACTCTACTTCTGGGCAGCAGCATTTATTTGAAATTAAAATTGTACACCTAGAGCATGGTGACCTTTTCTCTGATGTAATTTGAGCAGCACATACTCCTGAGGCCATAAATATCATTTATTCCTTAGAACAGATGCCTGATAATAGCTGCTGTTCTCTTAGCTTTGTTTGTTGTCAAAACAGTGCAAACAGAACCCAATTGTTTTTTACCCTGCTTCTGCTGTTCTCTGGAGACTGTTTGATGTTTAAGAGCCAAATGTTCAGTGAAGAAGATAGCGATGCTTTTAAGCAGAGCTTCTTATATGGTCCCTATATAAGTTGTTATTTTAGATTTGAGGTTGAAGACTTTGTAGACCAAGAAATGCTAACCCATAAAAATCACAGCGTGGAAATGAACAGAAGAGTAGATTTGCGTTCTGAGCCTTTTCCAGGGGATGAGATCTCTCAAAGAAAAGTATCACAATATATCAATATTCCAAATTCAGACCCAGTTCTGCCCCTATGTGCACATACTGAGCAGACCAAAAAAATTCCTCTCATGTACATCCTGCCTTTGAAATCCCGGCCCCTTGCTTGCTAGGGGCTATTGTGGAGCTGCTGACATATTTCACTTGCAGGGTCAGTCCTACAGTTACTTATTTCAGGATAATTTTGTGCGTTCCCATTCTTGGTCACTGCTTTCTTTGACTGAAATGATGTGCCAGACAAATACTAAGCAGTTTTGACAATGGAAATAGTCCAGTGAGTCAGAATTACATTAGAGGGAACAAAGATTGAAGGAAAAAGATGAACCCAATAAAATATAATTTCAATAGTACATCCCTTTTATGAACTTCAGCATTCTCTTCAAGAATGATGACATGCAGATATTGTTGGAATAAGGGAAGAATTATTGGAACTCTTAGATGAAGATTTTTAAAAAATTTCTATAAGTCTTCACAATGTGAAAACTAGTCTTTCCATTGCTCTATCTCTTCTGCCTTCCTACAGAATATTGGGCTACATTAATTTTACAATTAATTTTCTTAAATAATATTATCAATTTGTACAAGTGATAAATTTGGCCCTCTGCGCAGCACCCAGAAGATTGTCAGGGAGCGGCAGGGAGGTTTTGATGACCATAATTCTATCCTCTTATTTGCCACTTAATTCACTATTAGGTTTCATGGTGTTTTATGTTCTTTAAAGACCTGCTGTGCAGTCGTATCAGTTAAAGGAAAATCTTGCCATCAAGTCCTCATTCTTTTCACTAACCCAGGCAGAATGACCCCCAAGGACTGAAATATATATCATAAAACAGAATCCTGGTGGGTTTTTAAGGGCTGGAAACAGCCATCAGGCAGATCTGACACTTTCTGTTGTTTATCTCTTTTGATTTATATCATTATGTCTAGAACAAGGTTAGCCAGTGATATCGCGGTCAATTTGATACATTATGATTGGTGGGAAGCGCACAGTGAAATTATAATTCACCTCTGGGGACACGAATACGTGTATTTTAAAGGACTGCCTTCTCCCCTTCCCAGTCAAACTGGTGGTTGTGAAAAGATAAAAATGTAGTTCTTTGGTTTCTAATTCAGCAGTCATGATGAGAAGACTGGGCTCCCTTGAGGAGACTATACGGGTAAAAGTACAGGGCCAGTGTTTCATATGCCAGGGATCTGAAGCAGCTCTCAGCTGCCCTGCACATACATCACTTTTCATTAAAGGTTCCTCAGGTGTTTAGTGTTAGTCAAGCATTACAGCACATCTGTATGTTAGATGTTGTACCCATTTTTATTACCGTAAGATATTTATAGGGAAGTATAGCGACCAGCTTAAAACCATACAACCAAGAGTAGGAAGTTTTCTGAAATCTCACATCTTTTTCTACTTCAGAGATGGTGCAACTAAGTGTCATGTAGTTACCAAAATAATGTGGTCGCAGCTAAGCACGGTGCAGGCAGTGGCTCAGCATCTCACTGGAGATGTCTCCCCATGTGCTGCATCTCCTAAGATAGCTCGTCATTTTTATTAAGGCACATACACATGCAAAACCTTCTGAAATCAGTCTCTTCCTACATTTTCTTGAATAACAGCTCAATTTCATATAAAAAACGCAGAATGGTAAAGCATCTGCTGAAGAACAAATTTCATCAGTCCTTAAAAGCAGCTTACCTGCTTCCCAAGGTGCCATAATCCCCATCTCACACAGTCCGTGACAAGGTGATGCACATCATGCAGTACAGTGGAAATTTCTTATTTCTTCCCACAGCATGGGAAAAGAATATAATCTTGTGAGATCCCAGGCAGATGAGAAAGATGTGAGATACCAGAAAATGGAGAGAATGCTAACAGAACAGGAAAAATATGTTAAGTATTAAAGTCTAGATCTCTTGAACCTGTGAAAAACATCTGTACAGTCTGTCAGAGAGGCTAGAAACCTGGGAGAGGAAAAAATGAAACAAGTGACAGTGCTCAAAATAAAAATACATCTTAACAGGCCAGCCCTTAAACCTGACTGCTTGAGGAAAGAAACACACTGGTAATAAGGAAACAACTACCTATAATTGGCTGACAAATGCGGTGACACGTTCATGAAATTTTACAGTTATAGTACTTTTTCCTGTGTAAAATTTCCTCAGTAGTTGTGTAAAGTTGGTGAAAGAAAATGTGCTTTTGTGCTCCAGAAAATGCCCCTTTCCTCCTGAAATGGAAGAGAGCATTCAGCACAGATCCTGGAAGGAGGGGTAGAAAAATACCACTTTTTCAGGGCCTGCAAAAATGTGTTGGTTCTTGCTGTGTGGCATTGGAAAGGAGAAGCTTTCCAACGAGATGTCTCTTTTTGGAGTAACAGTGAGGAGGAGGGAAGCAAATGGATGATGCCTTTGGGTGTGCCTGGGTGATCCGTCCCTCTCTATGGGGTAGTTGGCAAGGATTTGGGTTCAGATGTTTGCTTCATAGCAAACCAAAGCCTACCTAAGGAAAGGAAGCGTCAACTTTGCTGTCATTCCTAAGCAAGTTAACATGAAATTTCAGCCTTTGGCTAGTTCAACAAATTAGCCATGGTAAGAATATTTTGCCAGTGCTGCTCAGAGTGTGGAGAGGCAAATGACAACCGTGTAATTGTCACCAGCCACCTCGGGAGACTTTCCTCAGCTGCTGTGCATCAGTGGATATTAGCAGCAGAACATCCTGCTAAAATGTGCTGCCTTTATACTTATCATCACCAAGAGTATTGCACGTTAGCGCCATTGATTGAATAAATGCACATCATTAAATTTGGATGTCCTCAAAACATGTCCTAGGAGTTTCAGGAGACAGTGTTGGTAGCAGTGAGGATTTCTGCTGTGCTAAACTGTATTTGCTGCTCTGTAACAGCCTGCATGGGTGCAGTGCAACATTGCAGCCTTTGCTGGATGGCTTGTGCTCACTTTATGGCCTTCCCAAAACTTAGGAAAATGGGCTATTTCCTACCCAAATGCTAATAACGTTGATGGAGTGGTGCTGTATCCCAGCCACTACTGCGCTGCACGTCATATGAATTTCCAGTCCTGCAGTAATTCAATTTGTTTGGAATCAGAGTGGATTAACATTTAGCAAGTCAGATACATGGGCAGAGTGACTGCCTGTCCATCTGCAGAAGGCAAAAGGCTGTGTCATGCCCTCTAACACATGATGGTTACAAAATCCTTGTGAGGACAAGCACAATTTCTCCATCTGGAGCCAGCAGCAATGTCAGTGAGTGGCAGTTCCACATCAGGCTCGGATTCCCAGCTTGGTGGCGGGCAGCAGAATCAGGTGCACATCGCCTTTCAGGAAAACAATGTAAATAGCACTGATTGCAAGATCCCTCCCTGAGCCATCTCAGCAGGTGGGTGTTTGGGGGGGTTGATTTGCCTACTCCTGTACCAAAGTATCCTAACCTCTGAGCATTTCTCATTAAAATTATGGTACCCACCATTAAAATTAATACATTTCCAGGAGGGAAATCTAACAACTGAGCTTGATAGATGTCTGTGGCCTGTCTTGAGCAACAATCCTAACAAACTTGGTACACAAAACTCCTCCAGGGACACCTAGGACATCACAGGCATCATCTCTATAAGCAAAGTCAGTTAACGTGCCTCTGAGAACTGCTCAGCTTCCCACCTTGTGGGAAAATGGACACCTTGTGTGGGTTTCATGGCTACCTATCTCTGAAAATTGCCCACCTCAGTCTTGTCCAATCTACACCATGTTTGTGTGCCAACACTGTATTTTAACTTAAATATGTGTTTTCTCCCACTATTGTGTTTTCCCCTGCTTATATTTATATATACATATTTATATATATTTATGTAATAGTCTCTTGTTGGTGTTCTGAGATGTGGCTCTTTGGCCTTACAGGGACAAGCAGAAAAACAAACTGTAACTTTAACTCTGGTTCTTACTTGTATGCCCAAAAGCCTACTGACTAAAGCAATTTCATCCTGAATGTGTTGCTGCAGGACATGGAGGACGGATTTGCCAAAGGGAATGTGCATGCTGGTTGCCATCTCTGTGGAGCACGAAGAGGCTCCTCCTATGGGAGCCGTGCGAGCCATCGTGATGGACTCTCAGTACTTGATAGAGCCATGTGGCTCAGGAAAAGCCAGGCTGACCCATATCTGCAGGATTGACCTGAAGTAAGTACCCTGCCTGCAAAAAGCAGATGTCCATTCAGCAGGGCAAAAAAACACCAGCTCAAAGAGGGGAGGTGCAGGGAACAGAGGGCATGGTTAACATAGCTTTGCTGCTTTGGAGTCCTCTTGTGGTCTTTTGTGTCCACCAAGCTCATTTCTGTGTTCAGCATCTACTGTCATTATAATGTGATCATAGAAATAAAATCTGGTTGTTTGATTACTGCAAAGGAGCACTGCAGAGTACGCTTCCAATGACAAGTATTCAAATTCCCCAACACCACCACAGGCAGCAGGGAGTAGGGGGCATGGCAAGCCCACTCCTGTGGAGCATAGTTCGTGAGTATTTGAATTTCTCAATAACTGTGTCTTTCCATTTCTTCAGAGGACATTCCCCAGAGTGGTACAACAAAGGCTTTGGACATCTGTGTGCAGCAGAAGTTGCCAGGATCAGAAACTCATTTCAGCCTCTGATTGCCGAGGGACCAGAAACAAAAATCTGAGGAAGTGTTCCTGGAAATGTGGACATGTAAATCAGGGTATGGCCAGAGAACAGGAAGACAGAAAGCAAAGACCTTATTTAAGTTACAGAAGGCTGACCAGACCTGGGTCTGTACAAAGGAGACAAAGGAATTTTATAGGAAAGTTCTTTTATTCTGGAGACTGCTCCCACATCCCTTCTGTATTAAGTTCAGTTATTGAAGTAGATCTTTCCTCAAAGAGCTTTTATCTTTATTACTTTGAAATCAGACTATTGCCATTACTTGTGTGTTACATAACTCTGGTATTTAAAGGCTTCTGAGAAGCATATTTTAATTGTAAATAATTTATGTACAGTATGTATATATTTATCTATATTATATCTATATATAAGTATATGTATAAATTAATTATTTTGTATATAACTCAGTGCTTTGTAGAGGAAATCACTTGCATCAGTTGGACCTTAAATGAATCCATCACTTGTTTCTTAGTGTGTCACTGCTACATAAGCTGTTTGCTATTATCACAGGGCTACCAGACATAATCCGTGTGATAACAGAAACGTCTGTTCTCGAATTTGTTTTGTGTTTGTGTGCTACGAGAAGGTACCTAGAAATAGATGTAGGAGGAATTAAAAGAGCTAAGGAGGAGAGAGGTTGTTGTATGTTTAAAAATAATGAGGAGAGGATCCGTTTCAGCAAATAAAATATGTGGAAATGTAACTGAGATAGACATTTTGAAGGCTGTTTATATTCAGCTGCAGAAAGCCTGTGACTGTTAGCACAAGATATCATCGAAAACTTTCCTATTGCCTTAATTAATGGTGTATCTGCCACTAGAGAACCTCACTATTTGCAGTGTTCAAAGTATCTGCTTTTTCTTAAAAAGTACAAGATAACGCCATGTGTACTGAGGTGTCTGAAATCAGACTGCTAAGTTACTAAGCTGTAAATCTTTTGTTTAGCATTTTGTCTAGGCTCTGAGTAAGCGTTTCTGTCTTGTTCTTTCCTTCTTCCATAGAGACGGCTAATTATTAAGAAGCTCCAAAGCAGATTTTCCACATCCAATGGACACAAAGATGTGCAGATGAATAAATACCATGCCTTTTAATACTCATACTATAAAAGTAACTGAACTTTTTAAAGCTTTTAAACACATCTCAGAGATTTAAAAGATTAAATGCAGGATATGCTAGGGAAGATCGCTTTTATAGTAACAGCAAGCATTTTTGTATTATATTGCACTGATCTGCATGATCCTGCCTCTGTATGCATTGGTCGGAGCAGGATCAGCCCTGACTATGAGGAGTAGGAGCCATTTAAGCCTGTTATATCATTTCATTTTCAGGGACCTATTATTTTGCTAATGGAAGAATGCTTTAAAAGTAATACTAAGGATTTGTTGATGTTACCATTGAGGCAGGGTTCTCTTTTTTTTTTAACTAACCTAAGACCAAAAGTGATATTACATCTATGATTCAATAAGAATGTACAAGCCTGTTAATACTGTTCTTCATTAATCGCATGTGTTCACTTTGACTTTATTTATTGCTGCATAAACCAGCCAAGTCATTCATAGCCAGTGTTTTAGCTCAGTCCTTCCAACAAAATCCACTGAGAGTTAGTATGAGGTCAATTAAACGTGGGAGACATTTCCTACATATGAAGCTACAGTCTTGCACCCTGATCCAGTAAATGGTGAAGTCTTCCCGTGCAGTGGCTCTGCCAGTGCTTTCAATCTGCCCCGAGAAGAGGAGCTGTGGGTGGACTATTGCTGCTAAAGCACAGCCCAACGCACCATCGTGCACATACATGAGGGCTGTGCTGATGGGGGAGACCCCATCATCTGGGGAAGAGAGCCCATAGGAGCTTGGGGTAGACCGGGGCAGGGTGACCCAGCACTTTGCATCCATAGAGCAGCAAGACCCTGAAAAAGTTACTGTCATCTTCCCCCCTGTGAGCTGCTCTTCTCTTTCTCTCTGTCTCACCTGTGTTTCGTTGTGCGACTCATAGGATCGGAGAGGCGGGTTGGCTGTGAGCTCCTGTGTTGAGTTTATGGCCAACATTAGATGCAACATACAACCATCGGGTGGTTTAAAGTATTAAGACACAGTGAGTGCTCACACCCTACGTGCCCATAATGAGGTCCGGATGCTCCACAGGTGGCAGTCCACCACCACTGCCCATATCTCACCTTCCTGGGAGTGAACAGTGGCTCTCAGGGTGCCGGGTCAAGGCCAGTCCCCCACTGCCATTGGAACCACAATCCCAAGACGCCTCTTCCAAGTAATGCCTGTAGCCGTGGCAGCAGGCTTCATGACGGCTGTTTTCCAAAACAGGAGCAATTAGAGCACTGCTGCTACATTAGTTTGCATAAATTAATACAATAGTGCCTCAGTATTAATGGACAGAGATTCTCTGGCATTGGGAATGGCAATTGTCTGACACTAAGCAATTTCTTAAGGAAATGAAGGGAAAACCCGGACAGTGGTTTTACCCTGTCTGAAAATTCAGCTGGAAGGGCCCCTCTGCCACCTGCTACAGTTAGCAAGGTAGGTTTGTCCTCCTACCACTGCAAAAGCTCTGTCGTGTGCTTCCAGCATCTCTAAGCCATGTATCAATGAAATACATTTTCATTAAAATGCGCATTATGCCATGTCTACCATTCAGCTACCACAGTATTTTTTATTGTTATGTTGCCATTGAGAATACATTATGATGATTACATTTTTAAATGTTATATTCATATCAATACCTCATATTTTTACCTCATCTGTTGGTATCAGTCATTAGTTGTAAATAAATAATTGCAGAGTTGAATAAATTTGCATACACTAAAGAATCAAATTTCCTTTATGTGTTTATTTCATCCGCTGGCTAAGGACCCAAACACGGTACACTTAAGCTGTTCCTTCCTTTATTGCCACCTGCTGTACACTAATCTGATCTGAAATGAGACTTCAATAACTGTTTTAGGCTCAAAATGATATTGTTATCTATTATGATTATCCTATATTGTCCCAAAGTATCCCAGAACTTCATGGCAAAGATATGTAAGGGGAAAGTATTTTCCAAAGAAGCCATTAGGTTGGGATGGCTGCCTAGAGAAAGGTAAACTCAAGTCTGCAACAGTACTTAGGCTCCTGACTCTCAGGAATTCAGCCATCAATAATCAATAATCTGTGTCTAGGTTTATGAGACTGACCGTGGAGCTGGGATGCTGAATGTTGGTTTTGCTTTTTTTGACATTAGCTGTCTCAAATCCACCAAGCCGCTGCAAAAGAGAAAAAAAAATGCAACAACAGAACAGTGATTCTTGTGGTTTGTCTTACATGTATCAACGGATGGAATTAATTTCCCTTCAGATGAGCTTGTATCTCTCCAACTCTCTATTGAATTATTGAAAGAAAAGGAGTCTCAGCAAACAGGATACAGAGGAGGAAGTCAGCTATGAGATCATCTAGGAGGGAATGTCTGTATGTACCACTGTTCAGGGAAAGCTAATTATTATAATTTGGACTGAAAGAAAGCACTTCTTTCCAATTCTCTGCTATGATAGAGATAAGCAGCTGTGTAAAGTCTTCTTTATTGCAAAAAAAATAAAGTACAGCATGTGATGTTCTCTGAAACTGTTGGAGAGTGTCCAGAGGAGGGCTACGAAGATGGTGAAAGGCCTGGAGGGGAAGACGTATGAGGAACGGCTGAGGGCACTGGGCCTGTTCAGCCTGGAGAAGAGGAGGCTGAGGGGAGACCTCATCGCAGTCTACAACTTCCTCGTAAGGGGGTGTCGAGAGGCAGGAGACCTTTTCTCCATTAACACCAGCGGCAGGACCCGCGGGAATGGAGTTAAGCTGAGGCAGGGGAAGTTTAGGCTGGACATCAGGAAGGGGTTCTTCACAGAGAGAGTAGTTGCACACTGGAACAGGCTCCCCAGGGAAGTGGTCACTGCACCGAGCCTGACTGAATTTAAGAAGAGATTGGACTGTGCACTTAGTCACATGGTCTGAACTTGGGTAGACCTGTGCGGTGTCAAGAGTTGGACTTGATGATCCTTAAGGGTCCCTTCCAACTCAGGATATTCTATGATTCTATGATTCTATGATTCCCAGCTCTCCTTCCATCCACCTGTAGTAATGTCAGGGTAAATAAACCATCCGAACCCTAACTGCACTGATGTTCAGCTCCTGGTGTGTGCAGCCTTTACAATGTTGACTTCTTGGGCATCCATCCTCCTTATAACCTCTTGCAGAAGTCAGAAACAAGGTGTACCTCTGTCTGACGCACTTGCTCTGCAGAATCAGCATCAGCCTTGGAAGATCTTGGCATGCCTAAGAAACACTGCTCTTTGAAGCGGCAGGTAGTTGTTAGAGAAGAGCACGGACTGAACATACTGAAATGACTGTGAGATGAAAATGTTGAAAGAAATACACAAAAGACTGCTGGAGACTGAAAATCAAGTAGGAGAGGATGAAAAATGATACTGTCACTTTAGTTCAGTGACATTGGAGAACCAGGGAGAGAATACATATCTTGCAAGACAGAGAGCAGTACTTAAATGGCACGGACCACTCCTTCTTTAGCATGGATTTAGCATGGATTTAGCATGGGCTTGTCATATCTTCCTTGTCAGGTGTGGGACTGTTACAGCTGCACCAGGGCTTCATTGGGATGGGTGCTAGGCCAGGCAGATCCTGTTAAAATCTCATCATGGTGTGCCAGGACTGAGATATGAGACATCAAACCACAGATTCAGAAAAAAGTGTGTGTTCAAACTTCGCTAAAATGTACAAATGTAAATTTTGAGGCATCTAGTTCCCATACACACAATATCATGGTCACCCAGCTACAGTATGTAGAAGCAAAGACTTTTGCCCAAAGACATAATGGATGCTGAGCAGATACACACATAGCACTTTGCAACTGTAGACTGTCCTGCTTCGGTGTGCAAGAAACTGAGTTCAGCAAACACACCAGTGTTTGGAAATGAAGGGCTAACACTGAGCTGAGCGATGTCTGGGACAACAAGTAAACAAGAGGGAAAACAAGTACATTGCATATAACTATTTGCCCATCTTTTTTAGGCTTCACATGCTTCCCAGATACCCTCCCTAATCCACAAAACACCCCAGACACCAGAAACTTTATGTTTCTAATGAAGGCATTTCTAGCATTTTTTGGTATAAAAACCTGGATTCTTACCTCCTTCCATCCCTTGATTCTGAACTGAAGATGTCTAACCTGCTACCCTACAACTGACCTCTTGCCAGTAGTTATTTTCCTCTGCTCCCTTCTGCTGTCTGCACCCAGCTCTAGAGCCCCACGTGCACCACAGCAGGCGAGACGAGGAGGCTAATGGTCTGCACACCACGGACTGCTCTTTACCTTGAGCAGAGACTTGAACCGCAGCGTGCGTTTGGTTGGCACCAATTTGCAAGGAGACAGGATGGGGTCCAGGTTGTGACTGCACTTTAACGAGAAAATGCCTCGGTCTGTGGCAGTCCTCTTCTGCGCCAGCAGGAAACCGCCCTGCTTGGAGAGAGCAGCTGCACAGAGCTTCGCTGACGCGCCAGCGAAAGGCTCACAGCTTATTTCTTAATCAAAATGCTCAGTTTTGCAAAAGGGCACTAGGGAAACTCAAGCTAAAACTGCACATTCTGCTCTTTCCTTCTCACCTGCTTGTAGCAGCTCTGAGACAGTCATGTGGCTGAAATACAGAGCCAGCACTTGCTACAGGGAGGATTTGCTACAGCTTGCAATTTATGGGCAAAAATGATCCACATGGCCATCTGCCCCTCCCCACACCATGCCTGGCCCTCTCCGGAGCCTTGCTGGAAGTACTCCTTTTGCTTGAGAGGCCGCCTATCGAGTTACTATTTATTTATTTTTTTAATTAAATGAATGTGGGAACCGCAGGTGGCCAACCAGGCAGCAGTAACCCTATCGGCAGCATCTGCTGGCCGGCAGCGCCCCGCGGCGTGTGTGGGACAGATGCGAGCTGGGTGCCTGCAGGAAGCCTGACCCCAAACACCCCAAACCTGAGCTGAGCAGCAGCCCAGGCCCGACCAGCTCCACTACCCCACCGCACCTCACCAGCTCCATCCAGGTTTGGTCTTCATGACAGTAGAAGCTTCATAGACCAGAAGCACCGGAGGTGGTTTGGCTTGACCACATGCAGTGACTCCTATTTTTTCCCCAGTCTCCTTCAGTTTTGAGACGTGCCCTGGGGCCAGCTGAAATCAGGGAGCTGATTCACCCACCCCCAGCACCCAGTAGTGTCGGCTGTCCCCAACCAGCACGAGCCAAAAGCCCACCACCATTGTGAGGGCAGGCCTCTGGCTTCATGGCTGCCCCAGTGTCCTGCCCAGTGCCGGCCTGCTCCTCAGGGTTGGGTTTATAAGGATAAATTGTGATATTTTAGCTCTTTAGCCTGGATTTCTCTATCCCCAAAGAGTCATCTTCACCTCCCTTTCTTCCATGCTTAGGGAGGAGTCTGTATTTGAGGCATGGAGGGATGAGATCTGCTGCTGAGCCTGTGTTACCACAGGTTTGTTGGCCAGTGCCTATGCATGGGTCACACCAGCAGCTCCCTCCATTGGGTGCCATTTCAGAGACATTTTAGAGCCAACTCTTGGCTGTCCACCTTCTCTGCTTACCCCAAGGCTGCTGAGATACAAGAATCACCTTGAGTGGGGTTTAACTCACTGGCCAAACTGGCTTTTTGTCTTCTTGATCTTCCCTTGTCTCATGGTGTTCTCTCAGCACTTGGAAGAGGTGCTGGGACACTTGTAAATCACAGAGCAATGGCACCCATCTCACTGCTGACATCACCAGGACAGCAATGGAAAAGTCTGTGCCTATTATCTATGCAAATAAAAATAATTGCTGCAAATAATGAAAAATTAAATGGGTGTCACTGGGCTAAGCCAAAATGTTACACTGTGGCCTCCTTGGCCTCCCAGGGTTTCTTGCCTTGGGCAACCTTTTTCAGCAATCACTTGTATTTATCAAAGAGATACAGTTATTGCACTTGGGTTTTTTGAATAATTGAGTAATTTAATCTTTTAAGTGCCTCTGAGATCACTTGTTGTAATTAAAGACAGAAGATGAATGGCTGAAGTATAAGAGCACTGGAGGACTTTAGAAATGAATGTGTCCTTGACTGTGTCTCCTGTGCATTTATATAATGATTATCCAGCATTAATATGACCATATAGATAAGAGAAAATAATAATAGCTTGGTTACATTATTTTTTCTTCCAGCCCTATAATAACATGTCACCAGCTGGAGCAATGTGTCAGCACCCTGTCAGGACCAAGCAGGAGCAACCATGTGCTGTGTAGTGCACGACCTCGCAGCCTCCCAGTCCAAGACACAGGGAAAGGCAATATCTGCTCACATGTCCTGCAGCAACGTAGCTGATAAATGAGTTACAAATGTGTATAAAATCCACAGATTTCCATTCGAGGTGGACTTAAAGTCTCAGCTAGCGCTGAAAGAGGCAACTGCAACACTGGCAGCTTACTTTATGAGCATTTATTTTTTCAGCTTTTGGGAATAAGAACTGTTTGATCCTAGTGGAGAGAGGAAAGGGGAATGGTTGCTGCAAAGTAGTAACTATCCACAAAAAATCCATAAGACCTGTAAACAGCATTTTATTTGCCAAATAAACTATATGCCCTGGCATATCATATGCCATACCTTGGTATTTAGCTACCCATTTTACAGCCCAGAAATGAATAAACTGTTGCCCAAGGAGGCAGCAGGGGCTGGTGGAGGAGCTGAAGCCAGCACTGCTGCATTCCCCGTGTGGTGCCAAGCATGGGGATTGTGCCAGGCCCAGGCTGTG